TTGAAGTTGTCTTTTCTTCTTGTTGAACAGCCAAACCAAAGTCAGCTAATTAATTATGCAAAAATGAGTAGATTTTGTCGTTTTTAGGGGGGGTCCCTGTAAATCCCAGGGAATTCAATATTGCGACCTTATTTTTTGTCGAGGTTAATATCTCACCACACCCATCAATTGTGCCAAGTTTAAGCGAAATCCGTGATTTGAGCATTATCACCTCCTGCCTGGTTCTCTCATGGACACACTCTTAAAGCTCAAAAACGCTTCACAATAACTGTTTCTTGAAACTGAAAATAGATTAATGGTTTTTTATAACTTCAACTTGCAATCTCTCCCCTGAATTACACATAAAGTGATTACAGAATAAGTGTATAATAAATATATAGAATATGTAAGATCGTCAGGTCATAACGACTGTGTTGATAAAACGACTTCAACAATAGTTCTGTGAATTCTTCATGGCCGCCCTTACGCCGGTTGCAGCCTAATACATCATGAGTTCTGAAATCTGTCTTTCGCTGGTGCGTTGAACTTGTGCGTGGACCTTAAATTGTAGAGGCGCTTCGAAAAGTTAAAATATATTTAAGCAATAGACCACTCTTTTTATGGGTTTACCGGCGTGATAACCCACGCGCGATGTTGGGAGTACACGAGAAAAACTTGTAAATCACTCGCCTTCGGCTTGTGATTTTCACGCTTTTCGAGTGTTCTCCCAACATCCCAAGAAAGTGTGGTCTATCGGTTTTATAAAATAACTTTAAGTTTTCTATGAGGCATAGGTTTTCAAACAATCAGAACGCACGTACCAGCTTAGTTATTTTATAAATATATAAACCAAATAAACAAAGATTCATTGTTAAGAATACAATCAAATCATGTTTCTTTGGATGATACCATCATCCACGTTGATCCTTAAGTCTAGAATAAGACTGGTATTGTCGTATCCTGAGGCGGGATTTTTTTTTATTGATTTTGAGGTTATACAAAACTATCGTATATAAATATAAGGAAGGATATACTCAACTACAAATACTAAAGATATAAATTAAAATAAATATACATATAAAAGATAAAAGCTGAACGTAATGGAATAAAAATATATATATTCTTGTTTGTTTTTAAGTCATTATTTTGTAATTTTAAAATGTAATCTTAGTACGCATTCTAAATGAAACTTATTTACGTTTATAGAAAGTTAGGAATAAATGATTTTTTAGTTAACTTACGCGTTGTGAAGGATTTTATATTTATATATATATATTTTTGGGGGCGGGGGAGGGGTGTGCAGGGGGATTAAAAAAACTAACCCTCTCGTCACACAGTCTGTGAGAATACTCTGTGTATTTAATAACAAATAGATTTGTTATCAAAGTTGCCTCCACTCGGTAAGAACAGCCTCTTCATACGAGAAGTCGGTCCTTTCCGACTAAATTAACAAAATATGTTAAAGAACAAGTAACCTTTATAACTTCACTTTTAATTGCTTAAGACGAATAGACAATAGGGCCATTTATACGAGAAAAATAAGACGCGTCTTACATTAGACGTTAACTGTACCATTTATACGCGCATCTCTTATCTAATAAGACGCGTCTTAACTAAGCCGCGTCTTATTTTAGACGAAATGTGCCGTTTATACAGAAAGTTCGCGTCTCCCAAACGGCCTTTTTAAAGTGAACCATTATATTCAAACAGATGCAGTCACTGTACATTTATCGCTTTCTTTTGTTACGAATTTTCTTGGAACGTTTGGTTTCAATCTGTTTAGTCTGTCATTGTATTATGTGTAAATATGCCAGAATGAACATTTTTTAAAGCAAATTTTTATCACCCTTCGGGTCCAAATAGCTTGAGCTGTACGGCCCCTCCCTGGTGTGAAACTCTTGCAGGATGATACCGAAGCTGTAAACGTCGCCTTTCTGCGTCTCCCTGGTGGGGCGATGTGGTAGACGAAGAATTTCTGGTGCCACCCATAGAAGGTCTGAAATAAAAACACAAGGAATTCAGTAACAAAGTGGTGGATGAATGGGCGGAAAGTCGACCTGTTTTTCTAACGCAAGGGCCTAAAAATAGTCAAGGAACACTTCATGATCTTCTCAGTCTTCTTTTTTTGTTTCACTCAGTTTGGTATCAGTTTCCACTGTTTGAATTTTGATGAATTTCGTGACACAGCTCCTTTAAAATGTCCTGGTCATTAGCCTCCACGGCACCGCTTTGATGCCCTCTACCAATTGATTTGCGGTGACTGACCAGCCCAATTAAAGGTGGTTATACAGTTTACAAGAGTTATTGGAGAATCATCCTGAAAGTTCAAGTACTCATCAATTAATTGTCTTCATACTTGCCTCTGTAATAGGAATGTTCTGAAGGATAGGTTTTCGTGTGCTTCTCCTTAAAAGTATTGAGCCCGTAGTCGGCAATTTTAAGCATCCAGTGGCTGTCCACGAGGCATTTGGACGATTTGAGATCTCCGTGTGACTTAATGTCCGTGCTCTGAAGATAAGCCATACCCTAGGAATGAGCAAACCACGATGGATACAAAAAGATCAATCTAAACCTTATTATAAGTACGGGCAATTATTATAAACAATGACCTACATTACCTACTTCTGTTTTTACCTGCGTTAGTTAAACGGTCAGAAGTAGTCAGTGGTCAGTTTGCTTTTCTCCAAGGATAGCCGCTTAATTGACACGTGAAGCTTATATACTGTGGTAGAGGTGGTGGTAACAGTTATGTACTGCAAATAGGTTTGACTTACTTTAATAATATCCGACACAAGAGAAGCCGTAAAAAGGTGGTCCAACTTCACGGCATCGTTCTCGAAAACATCCTGCAAAAAAGCTAAGCTATTACACAAGATCGAAACGCGTTATCGTTCACATAAGTTTGTATTTCGTAGGCCTACTTTGTCACACGCTTACCTGAAGACTGCCTTTGGAGCAATACTGCGAAATAACGCAAATATTTGGAGACTCCACACAAGCACCAATGAAAGGGGTCAGGTTATCATGCCTTATTTCTCTCATCTGAAAAAAGAAAAAATTGAAATAAATAATCCCAGTTACGTCCAGAAATGCACAACTCGGACCTTGAATACTTCATATTGGACAAAATTATTTGTATTTTCGATATGACGTCATGTTTGACAGAATTGCTTGCATTTTGGTGAGGATTAGGGCAAGGGACACTTTGTGATGTCTGTTATGTCCCCCCCATGTAAGGGAATCCAAATTCCGAAATAGGGGAAATTGTTGCTTGTGGAATGTGGAATGCGGGACGTTTTTGCTCCTGGAATGCGGAATACAGCTCAAGGAGTCCGGAATCCCAATAGTCTGCTACGGATGTGTAGCAGACTAGAATCCCACTAACGATTGAAAATATCAGGAATCACTGACAAAAAAATTCGGGATCCAGTACCTGGAATCCGGAATCCACGGCGTGAAATCCAAAATTCAAGATCGAGACTGCCTAGGATTCGCTTACACGGGAGCGAATTATATCATAAAGAGCAAGACTCTTATCAGTAGAGTTTCTGGATATAGCTACCCTCAAAGCGGGAAAAGCAATTTAGTGAAAAATTTGCTGGCTTTAATTCTAAGATGTTTCGAGGGTGCATTATGGAAAATATGGAAGTGGCGTATTGGCCATTTATTTTCCTGTCCCTTGTAACTGTTCCAGTTCCTTTCTCGTTTCTAAAGTGACGAAAAGCTAAGATTGCTTTTAGAGATACATGTATCTCAAGGCAAGCAGAGCCTCATGTTTCTGTTCGCCTATAATTAAAGCACGGATCCAGACGCACCAATAACTGATCGGATCGAAACGCACCAATTCTCGGCTTGCACTGTCACGCAATGAAAAATAAAAATGCAAACCATTCAATACAGAAGGACTAGAATCTGGGAAATGAAAAAAGATAAATATACAAAAACCCTTGCCAAGAATCAGGTCTGTGAAATATTTCAAACGCGAGATATTGGATATACGGTTTACCTAAATTTATAAAGCTTGGTATGGAAACGCCATGTTGGTGTCCGTTTCAGGAACACCAATATGGCCGCCGGATACCAACAGAAACATCTGTTTTCGAGTTTTCCTACTAATGCGTGAATTCTTCGCTTGAGGAACTCATAAAGATTACAGTAATATTTATTCTGAGACAAGGAATGTTTAGATTGCAAAATCTCCCAAGATCGGTAATGTTTTTAACCCACATAAGAGCTTTCCCGGTCGCCAGCTAAATGCCGCGTCACGCAAAAGCCTGTAAATTCAAGCGTCCTCTCTCGCAAAACGAAGAACCCTTTCGAACCAAAAATTTGTTTATGTAAAGATGTTTAGCTACTGTAATACCTCGTGAAAGTAGAAACTCAGAAGAATCGATAGTTTCTTAGTTTGATTTTTGGTGACGTCACGTGCAACCCAAGAATTACTGATTACGAGTCTTCATAGCCAATAACATCACGGCTTAACTGACAGACGACCAATAACATCGCGACGTAATTGACCAATCAGATGAATAACCAGAGTATAGTACCATCAACTGACGTGATACAATTCACTTTGACTCTGAAGATGACTACCGCACAGGTTGTTGAAACGTCAGTCACTGTCGACAACAACAGTCCTATTCAGGACTTCGTTCACCCGGACGATCAAACTCAACCTACTTTTAAAATTAAAGGGTTATAATTTAGCAGAACAAATTACCTTGTAAACAGTAATGGCTGTGTACTTGAAAAGATCATCTTCCTCATCATTAACAAGAGGTGCCTGTAATTCGGGTTCAGTTTCTTTTTGCTTTGGGAAAAGTAATCAAAACGTAATAACATAAATGTGCCTTAAAATTTAAAAGAACTCTCTTGATGACGCATGGCCTATTGCCAACCCTCTTACCGAGTTGCTTCCCAAAGAAGAGACAGAGGTTGTTTTCTTCTCAAAACATAGATCGTTGTAGTCAATCTTCCACAAGAGACGTTTGAGTTCTCGCTCCAATCTGTATTGCCTGTAAAGTAATAACGATAATGACAATGATGATGATAATGATAATGATAATGATAATGGTGATGATAATGATGATGATGATAATGATGATAATGATGATAATAATGATGATGATGATAATGATGATAATGATAATGATAATGATAACGATAATGGTGATAATAATGCTGATGATGATGGTGATGATAATGATAATAATGATGATAATAATGATGATGATGATAATGATGATAATGATAATGATGATGATAACGATTGCAGTCCTTTGTGGTTAATGTTTGTAAGATAATGATGATGACGATGATACAAACGATAGTAACAATGAAAACGATAATAATTATGATCCAAGAACGAGAAGTCCAAGGACTACCGCAAAGCAGATTTAAAACAACGTGTATTGTTTTTTATAACAATATTTCGGCTGGCTGGTGATGATGATAACAATGATAGCGATAATGATGATAATTATGATGAATAGTGATAACGATGATAATGATAATAATAATGACAATGAAATGATAGATTAGTAACATTTTTTAAAACTGAGAGCGGAACGATCCACCATCAAGAAAAAAAGTTATTGCGTCAAATTTTCACTTCAGTTGGAGATTTCACAACCATTTTGGTTGTGGCTGATATTGTTATTATCGTTGTTAACATCCTCGTTGTTCGGGGGAAGAGGGGGGATCATCTGTGTATACTTACCTGTAAATATTTAATAACAGCAACAGAGCTAGGATGGCCAGTGAACCAGATACGCCGGCGATGATTTTATTTTTCACATCTAATTAAAAAGGTAAAAACGAAACATAACGTTCTCTTTAGAAAATCGCTAACAGAAAAGCTTTCATATTTAGCAGATTACAAGTTACAGAAATATACAACTACCAAAATGCACTTCATTTTGACTGTTCCGCCCTCCTTTAGAGAGCAATTAACAAAAAATGTTGACAACTATCATTCTCCAGGCATTTGTAGTTTCTTTTCACCGTGTAGGCTGTCATAAAACCGTCACGTGACACGTGCGTAGCTAAAATACAGGGACTCTCCGTGCGCCATTTTTTCGTCCAGTTCTATGTAAAGACGAACTTTGATCCAGGCATTTAAGACGGAATCCATCAGGAAATTGAGTAATTTTTATTTTCAGTGGAAAAAAACCTTGTACCAGAATAATATAAAACAATATCGCATTATTTTTTACATTTTTCAAGGGCTTCAGATGTATTTAGTCATCTGTAATAACACCAAAAATAATTTCTTACGAGAGCCTAAGAAAATAAATGTCAAATTTCACAAAATGACACCCCACACATGAAATTTTCAGAATTTTGCCTGTGTTTTCACAATTCTTGTGAAATTTGCCATTTATATTCTCGGGCTCCCTTGAGAAATAGTCTTTGGACAGGTGTTATTGTAGATGACAAATTATATCTATAGCCCTTGAAAAATGTAAAAATGAATACGATATTGCTTAAATTATTCTGGTACAAGGTTTTTTGTCCACTGAAAATTGCAATTACTCAATTTTCTGATGGATTCCGTCTTAATACCTAAGTTATAGGACTGTTTAGCCGCATGTAAAGGAATCTAAGAGAGTCTCGGATTCTGGGTACCACGTCGTGTATTCCGGATTCCAGTAAAAAGACCAAGATATTAACGATTGGTTTATAACTATACCTTCTCGTATTGGTCCGATACAAAGTTCCCCGTGAAAACCACATTAAGGGAGTCCCGTGGGGGACCGGTTCGTCCACCGGGCCATTTGATGACAATGCCTGACCGCCGAACAAAAACTTGTTCCCCCTTTTTGGTCTTATTGTTGTGCTTGATTTGGAAATCACCGACTGGAATCATCTCGTGTTCTGCACTTTTTTCTGGAAAAAAATAAGAAAGCGCGATTACTAAACTTTGATAGGTGTATTCTAGGGTCTGAAAGGGAGATGGGGTTGGTACTGATCCCGTATTCCCGCTCTTTTTTCACGAGAATCCCGCATCCCGAAATTCACTCATCGCTATCACGAATATCGTTTTCTTGCGGATCCTGCACTAGTGTGGAAAATTTCCTTGACCAACACCTTTCTAAAGCTCTTATTTCATTGGTCCCTGACCTGCACTACCTATTGTTTTCGGAGAAAGGGGCATTGTTATGTCACCATCCCTATTGTTTTCCCAGCCAATCACAAACCTTCTTTGCAATCGGTGCCGCTTCTCCGGTAAAAGTCAAATCAGTCAAATCTTGTATTCCGTCAACGTTTCCCGAATTCAGCGCTGTTTTTGGGTAAGTCCCTGACCCCAGGAATATCCTTCCAGACGCCCCGGAAAAAGCCATAATCAACATCCGCTTACCTATCGGCTGCGTATCCAGCAACGTCAGGTTAAACTCTGCATCACCATTAGTGTCAAAGTTAATTTTGTAACCAAGTATGCCTGAAACCGAATGAAACTGAATTAACGTGTATTTCAAACTTCAAAAAAAAAGCTCCATCTTACCTTCCTGGAAGTTTTAATGGTGATAGGAAACTGTAGACATAAAAGCGTTCTGAAAGCCGCAACGCAGATAAATGCTTTAATCTATCTCTTTATTGAACTTTACTTTAATTATTGAATTCGTCACGGTGTCACAACACGGTGACAGGGGATGAAACAGGACTAGCGTCCCAATCATCAACCCGTTCATTACCCACCTAGCCGATGAAAGGTTGTACCACACCACCAGGGTCTACGCCCCCTACTCTTTACGAAGAGCATTGTGGATTCCTTCACGTCCCACAAGAGTCGGAACAGTGAAACAGCTGTGAGACGGGGCCTACGGTTTTTCTTCTTTATCCGAAAAAAAAAAAAAAAATAGAATGTCTAACAATTTGTAGATGTCATAACAAAGGCAGCACATTCTCCTCAGTTATTTTTTTAAGACCCTGAGTGTTGGTCCGGCCGGGGTTTGGACCCGCCACCTCCTGCTCAGCAGACCGGCGCTAACTCTTTCAACAATAAGCCATGAAGCGTTCAAATTTTAACTCTTTCGACAATTCAGGGGCACCCAACGGCAATTTTCGGGAAAATATCTGTTCGGAAGACGATTTGAGATCTAGAATTTTCGGAGCATTTGTTGTAAAATTTCTTGCTTGCCTGCCTCTCCTAGGATTTTCGAACATCTACAAAATGGTATAATTACCCATTTTTAACGGATTTTGACCCTAAAAAAGGCAACCTAGAATTTTCGGGAGCCTTTTCCTGGCTGAAATTTTCGAGAAGGTAAGTTTTTATCCCTATAATTTTCGGGTCACTAGACTTTCAGCTACGAAATCCGAACAGATGAAAAGTTTTTAGGGGATAAAAATGTGCCTATATCTACCGTTTGAAACAGTAAAATACGTTCAACAATGCTATGTTAAGTGTTTTTGAACTATATCCTCGTTGGGTGCCCCTGACAATTAGTGTATGAAGTGTTTAAATGGGATCCAACAATTTGTTTTAATGGCCTTATACAGGGCAACTAAGTTTATAATAGCTACTAAAGAAGTGGGTTCTGGGCATCATGAATGAAAAACACAAAATAGCCCTGATGCATATTTATGTCAGATGAGCAAATTTCACCACAAAATCTCGATTTCGAACGAGCTTCTTCGAATGTGCCCTCTCTGTGTGAGATTATTCTTTTCAACTCTACTGTAATGGAAATTCATTCACGGTTTTCGATGCCATCTTGACGAGTAAGCAAACGTGTGAGAAATTACAGTGTTTGTATGAGAATCTAATGTCGAATAATTTCCGTAAAACGGCTGTACTGAAAAAAATATCAGTTGTAAACTAAAGCTACAAAGCAAAGGACTGTACTAAGAAATTTTGGAGGCGTACCTGCGCTTACACTTCTCCATAGGTTTTCTTAAGATTTTCCATACATTTGTGTGTAATTTTCCCGGGACTTTCTTACAGACAAATGTATAGAAAATTTTAAAAAGTGGTTCTAGGTCTTCTAGTGCATGTAACACCCTCAAATTTTTTCAGGACATTCCTTAGGAGTGAAGCTTTAGTTTACAAATCATATTTTTTTTCACAACAGCCGTTGAAGTACTATACCCCTTAGTTGATCGACCCCAAAACATTTAGAAGGGTTTGTATGAAGTTTTCTAAGCATAACTGGGCTACGATCTCAGAGAAAATTTGCCCGAAATGCTCATTTTTGGCAAGAAGGCCTCTTGGACATTGTTCTTTCAGAATATCCTGACAAATCCCAACAGCAAGTGGTAACGTTTGCGCATGCGTCAAGCTTACTTGTTGAGAGCAAATCGTAATGGCCGAAAGCTGTCCTGAAGCACTTTCAAGGGAGATTTTTTTGCATACCCAGTCAACAGCAGACATGTCTTATAGTTTGGATACTTTGGTTAAGCCATGTTGAAGTGTCATGTATGGGAGAAGGACCATTTAGCTGGTTAATTTTCATCCATTTGGCTCCTCTGATGAAGCAGATAGAGCTTTCACGAGGTCGTTTGTTGTGATATGTTGATTTGTTGACATTCAAGCGGTCACGGATTTCTGGGTTTTCGTTCATGATCTGCAGAGCTGCCTAGCATTTAGGTAAGATATACCCCTTCATTTACTTTGTGAAATGTGGAGCAGCATCATCGAATGTTATGTGTTAAAATTATAGCAGCCTGAATTCAACGTAATTTATGTGACCCCCGTATTTTTGTAGTGGGCCATTCCATTTAATACCCACACCCCCCCTATGGATGAGACTTTCTGAGGGGTCCCCTAAAAGACGTCATTTTCTGAGGGGATCCCTGAAATACGTACTCATCCATAGTAATTTCCAGAGGGTTCCCTAAAATACGAACTCATCCATAGTACTTTTCTGAAGGGTTTCAGAAGAAATCATAGGTATTTCTAAGGGGGCTGCAATGTTTTTAAACTCATCCATTGGTATTTCTGAGGGGGTTAGGGCAACATTATTTCTGAGGGACTGCAGAAAAAGGAACATCATCCACAGGGGGGGTGTGGATATTAAATGGAATGGCCCAGTATTTGACGCTTACCGTACAGCGAGATCCAGTTACATATCCCACACAAGCGACTAAACAGGTTAAACTTCTCCTTCGGTCACTCCGTATTTTCACTTATAATGGTTAATTCAAAGGGGGGAAGTTCGAGTATTTTGATACTATTTAGCGGCATGAAATCAACAAGCAAATTTCCTACTCTTACAAGTAAGGCCGTAGCTGGATGTTTCCTTCCATTTTCGAAAATTTGCTTTTCTGGTTCACATTGGTGCTCTCTGGCGATTACTTATTCTCGGAGATTAAGAGATCGGGGCAGTGGATTGTGAAATATTATTTGCTAAAATTTCGTTGAAGATAGACAAATTTTTCTTGTCCTTTTCAACCTTGTTTTCAGATTTTTCGTGAACATGTAAAAGTATATCCCAACAAAACTTATTTGTAAAAGCATTGTTTCCGAACACTCTTTCGAATTCATTCTTGAATGTTTGATTTTGCATCCAAGGGGGGGAACACTGACGAATTTGCGTTTTAATAATCATGCACTGTAAGCTCTCAGATTCATTGACAAGAACCCTCACCATTTTGGAAGATGATTTTATTCTGATAATTATTCTATGATGATTTGTTTATACATATAAAATTGGCGCCTAAAAGAATTTCAATGTTATGCTTAAAATGTTTACATTATGTATTGAAACATAACTGAAATCAATATAAAATATGAAAATACACATGTGTGCATTCGTTTCCCTGCCCTACTATAAAATATGATAAGTGTGATTTAATCCATTTTCATATGACCATTATGATATTACTCCCACTTTGACACTAGCACAAGTTCAAGCGCAAAACAATTCTTTCCCTTGTTCATCTTTACACTTGCTGGACTCAGACTGCCATTCCTGTTTGAAGCACAGACTACACTGGACATGAAATCCCTGAATTTGATTCCTTGCATTGGCATCCACATAAGAATTAGCTCCATCACATACAATGTATTTGTACGCTTACAAAAATCATAAATGTCATTATTGCTTTTCTATCCAAAAGATTTCTTTCCTTCTTGAATATAAATTCGTATCCACCACTCTTTAGAAATCCTTAATATCTAAAGGGGTATCGCTAGTTGTGGGCAACAACAAAATGCCATAGGGGTAACTTTTCACTCTCTGATAGAAATAATTCTTTGGATACTCTGGGTCTCATATATTCAGTGTTTGTGCACATTAATTTAGGAGCACTTGGCTTGCCAATGTTAGTTTGGCTGTGTATACACAGTAGTAGTATATAGTCATCTATCATAGGCTGCACAAGTTGCAATTGATGCTCCTGGTTTTGCAAGATGACAAGTTATGGAAAATTTCATTTGCCTTTTGCCTGTTGCAGGAGCTCCCTATGAGATGCTCAGCACAAAACCTTGTTGATTCTGGTGATAGTCATTGAGGACGAGTGCATCGTCACATTCAAACCAGTTGCACTTTTCACTCAAGCCATAGCAGAGCTGGTACAGAATGGCGACTATCTGTTTTTTATTTAACCCTATGCTGTCTGCAGAATGTGAAGGGTCTGTCACTCCATACTGAACTGCATCAAATAGCCTTGGTGCCCCAGAAGACACACAGAAAAGCTTTAATATTATTGAGTCACACATTAGCTCACTTGAAGCTACCATAAACTCAGACTTTATAAATATCAGGCTTTAAGATTCTTAAGTTCTCCTCATGTTGAAATTAAATGAAAAGGAAAAGTTAGAGCTAATTTTCTCTCATTTTCAACTTTTTAATCTTCAAATCATAAGAACTTGGCCCTGAATAGATATGGGCTAGTCAAGGGAGCTAAGCCTTATTAGCTATTTATTAAATAATTAACACATGTGCAGTAGAACATACTAACAACAAAATTTATGAAAAGCAAAAATGAGTGCAAGCATGGATGCAGAAAATTCACTTCAATATCTCAGGGAGAAAATGCAGTTTTAGATATGACTTTGATCTTTACTATTTTAAGTATTTTCACTGTTGTGTGCATATTTGCAATTTTCTAGTATGTAGAAGTGTGGGGAGTAAAGGGAAGGATTTTTCATGGTTAGGATTACCTCAATAAAACACATCTGTAATATGAAACATCTTGTACCACACTCCTGTTTTGGCTCATCTAATTCTTTATTTTAGAAGTATAAGGGGCATCTTGGATTCTAGAGCCTCCATATTACAAAATTCTGCCTACACCCCTGAATAAGTTAAGGCATCACATGCATTTAAGAGATGTCATTTGTAGAGTTTGGGTCTTTAGTTTTATATCATCTAGTCAAAAATGGAAACATACAATTTCATAGCCTTGGGTGGGATATCTTTGAAATTTTATAAGTCTCAGAATTAGGGCACCAGGGGCGGATCTAGGGGGAGGGTGCAGGGAGTGCGCCCCCCCCACTGAGATGACCTGTGGTTTTCTAATACAACTGGTATTCTGCCAAAAAAAAAAACTATGTGGTTTATTTGTGTTGAAGTAGAGCAAGAGACAAGTGCACCCCTCCTAAGAAAAATCCTGGATCCGCCCCTGGGCACTGCACCTGGTCTGGACACTGCTGGTTAGGATAGGGTATCTCTGAAAAGTAATCACTGGCAGAATCACTGCACTAAGGTTGCACATCTCTGAACAACAGGGCGTTCCTGAACCATAACTGACGTGAAATCGTATTATTGCAAGGAGATTGTCGCAAGAACTGCAATTATGACTATATAAACAGACTAGCATTTAGAATTTTTTTTCAGAGCGTTTAATTCAAATCTTAAGCGTCGGACGTTCTGTACTCGGTCACAACTTACATGAAGAGATTTTTTCCCAGTTATCCAGTGTTTTAATAGAGGAGTTTTGCAGCTGTTACACAGAACCCCATCGAAGCTTGACGTGTCAGCGCGCAAGCCAAAACACGAAACAATAATCACTCATGGACCACAAACCGCGCAAAATTGTAAATGATCTGCACCTTATTAGCCTTAAGACCAATCTCGCATATTACAAAAAAGACTTTGTCTTATCTGCACTCCACAAAGATAGAACAGATGACTAAGACGACGGTTGAAGACGGTGATTTTTAAAAGAGGCGCCCTTTTTCTTTGCTGCATTCGCTGCGATCCAATACCACCACAAACTTCCGTCCAGCGGCTCGCGCATACTCGCAACGTTACCACTTGCTGTTACAAATCCCATGATTTCAGAAATTTCATTTTTATGACGTCACACCTATAAGAACAATTTTTTTACTAGAACTTTAAAAGAATGGAACACTTTACCTTCATTTTTGTTAGATCAGCCCTCCGTGGACGAATTCAAATCTGCTGTTACTAATTATTTTAATCTCCCTCGTTGATTTTATTATTCATTTATTTTTTGCACATTCACAGTGACGGAAACCTTTGGGTATTATAACACAGAAATAAATAAATTTTAAAAAAACAACAACAAAGGAAAAAAAATGGTCTAACACTGTTATGGTTAGACACCCAACCGGATTTTAAAATTGCTAATTACGTCGGCGGAGCGCGAAGTAAAGGATTTGCGACGCTCAGGAATGTATCAAAGTTGCCATTTTTTGTCAAGATTGGGCACGCAAAGTCCGTAGGTTTTCGGTTTTATTCGGCTATTTGACGAAGTGAGAGCCGAATTAGTTCGAGATATCTCGAGATCACTTCGATTTCTTTCATTTACTCTTTAACTTTTTCGAGGAAGAAAGAATTATTACTTTGGCTTTCCCGGGGTTTGAACCGACTCACCTGTGTGACCCGTCAGATCAGAGGAGACTCTAAGTTGAGGTATTTGCCGATTGCGCTACTGCGACACAAGGTAGTTCGGGATGTGAAAAATAGTTATGAAATGGTGCACTAGTTTCGGGACAAGATTGGGCGTGCAAGTTCGTGACTTTTCGGCTTGTTTCGGCTATTTCACGAAATGAGACCGGACTACTTCGTGATATCTTGAGATCACTTCGAGTTTAGTCTTTAATTTACTCCAGGAATAAATAGAGGATATACGTGGCCGCGCAGAGACACGAAATTTCTCTTCGAGTGTTGAAAAACATTTCACGAGTGAGACCTCCTTTCGAACTGTTTTGTCTTTGTTGAATGTTACGCTTTCATGCGTTGCGTGACTTTCTCGAACGTTCACTACGTTTTTGGATTATTCATGAATAATTAATAAGGGCATGTTTACATTACAGCATGAGTCAGTAGAGTTGCATCAGTTACTGAAATCATAAAATATGTCGAAAAGCTACTACTATTCGCCTGTTTAGTATTTTCTAGAACCTTATGTCAAACGGTATACAAGTTCCAAGCGAGTTCTTTTGACGAACTAAGTTTTCCCCACGATCTGGACTGCTGTGTTTAGTCAAGTGTGACGAAGGTCGATTTTCAAGTTCTGTATTTGCAAGTTGGCGAAAGCAGTAAGATATCTGAAGTTCAAGTGAGAGTTTGTTATTATTGGCAGAGGCTGTTTTGTTTTACTTAAGTTCGAGTCAAGTTTGTGTTGGCGGATACTGTGTTTTAAAGCTTTTTAGAGGCTGTGTTCCTTAGTCAGTGAATAATTATCCGCAAAACATTCGAACTCCTAACATTGAGTTTTAGCCAATTCCATGCCGAACGCAATTGACTCCTTACCTATGCCTTACATATCTTTAATCATTACATGAGACTGCTATGCTGTTTTTGAAGCCCCGACTAAGAAAAATAGAGAATTCTTTTTTCACCATTTGTTTTATTAGACCGCCAGTAACCTCATATTTGACTTAGGTCTAAACGTTTCAGGTCAAATTTAGAAGGATTTGTATGGACTCACCAGAGCATAACTGGGCTAATATCTCAGAGACAATTTGTCCCGAAATGCTAGTTTTTGGCAAGTAGGCCTCTTGGATGTTGCTCTTTTCAGAATATCCTGACAAATCCTATGATTTCACAAATTAACACCTCACTCTTACCATATTTCATTTCTTAGTATTCCTCTGCATTTACAACCAGGACGCCGAAGTGTACGCTCCGTAGCGTCTTGTCTGTTCTAAACATGATGTCATTCTTTATTCTACTAGCCCCCAGTGTTTTTTTTCACACGTCCATCATCAACTCGAGGCCTGATTCCTTGAAGCCGGCAAAGGAGGAAGTACGAACGCGGGCCATTTCACTATTCTTTTCTGCTTTGTCTGTTCGTGTTTTTCTTCTTTATGAGATTGACTGAAAAGGCATCGTTGTACATGTGAATTCGGCCACCTTTTCGGGCTTCTATTGTTGGAAACCAGCTTCACGTGCAGGTGGAAACTCCCCGAATATGGCGAATTATTTTAGGAAATTTCGACTGCTGATATGGAAGAATTTTTTGCTTCAAGTAAGTTCTCTATCTGACCGCTCTAGGTTCTGCTGTATTCTAGAGCTCGGTTCATAAATCTCGTTAACCTTTTACTTAAGGTCTCGGTAAAGGAAAACGAGGTGCCCACAGAAAAAAATTCTAGTCGCGCGAGTATTTTCGCTACAAAGGCAAGTTATATATCAAATTAAAGCTAAAAGACTAAATTACCTTATGAAAGATTTTATTTCATCGAATTTCAAAAGGCGCTTAAGTTTTTTGCTCTCGAACTCAGAGGTATCGAGTTTACTGCTGAAGCTCCAGCCCTTTCGCGTTGTTAAATATTCACTTCCTTTTTATTGCATCTGATTGACAGATAAAAGACCTAAAAAAGGGTGTGAGGAAATTTGCATATGTCTCGTATTAGCGGAATTATTGCATTTCAAACTAAAAAGTCGAATCTCGAGCGCGATTTACGCAAAGAAACTGGCATAATATGAGTTACAAAGGGAAATCGGAAAATTCCTCACACCCTTTTTGAGTCTGTATCATTATCCATCGTATCTGAAAGTTTCAAAGCGATAGCTTAAAACCTGTCCCGACTGGAGGTCGGAGAATTTTGATTTTTGCGTCTAAAATAGAGTGAGAGAAAATCAGCTCTAAAGATTTAGCGCGAGGTCCACGCTTGGCTGGTTAGCCCAGAAAAGGCTCATTTTAGAAGGGTTAAAAAGCACTTTCTGATTTTCTTTTTCTTCCAAAATAAAATTTAGGACCCACTCATGCCAAAAATCCCAAAAAAACAAAATCGAGCAATGTACTAAAATTTTCATTTACCGAGACCTTAAGGGCAATTATGTTCACGACTCATAACTGATTTAATTCAACAACACTTTGTAAGGAGAAAATTTTATTATCAGCTCCACCAGCAACGCGCTCATACTCTAGAGCAGGAAATTTGATGTTATAATTCGATGATATATTAGGAATGGACGTGTTCTTCTACTTTATGCTTTATGGTATTATTTTTCTTAAATCTCTAAACAGCTGTATAGCTACGGGGCATTTGCCCGCCTTGTCAGTCCCGGGGGTGGGGCATTTGCAAATCTTGCGCTGCCTGGGGGCCGGGCATTTGCCAACCTTTGCCTGTTGACATGCACGCGGCTTCCTATTAGAATATAACTACACAGAGGATTTTACTAGAAAAACAAGCAGATTCGCTTGTTTGTCAAGGACGGGAAAAAATTGAAGAGGTTTGTAAAGGTGTGTTCTCGATTTTATGCACGCATGTCTTCATTGCTTAACAAGCCAGAATTACATAGCAAATTTCAGAAGCTGTCGAGGTGAATCAACATTTTTTTGGTTATTGAATCAAGTTTCTCTTGATATTATTTGAAGAACATCCTTTCATATTTATAAAACTATTCATAGCAGTTAACTTTATGGTGCACTATTAATTTTAATGTCAATAATTTTATAACATAATCTAAAACTATAGACTGATGTCGTCACTGCGTGAAGTCTTAATTAGAATAGCACTATTACAAAGGAAGACGTTTATTGAAACAAAAAATCGCACATTAAAATGCTTAAAATGGCACTCCTTGATGGTGCGATCAATGAAAAATGTTGCAGTGTTGACGGAGGATGGGGTATTTGCCCTCTTTTTTCATCACCACCCCGGGGGATTTGACAGCTCGAGAGTCCCCACCCCTGGGAGTTTGCCATCCAAGGGAAAAATAATGGTACCGTAAAAACTCGTGTATAAGCCGCACCTTTTTGCCGAAATTTTGAGTAAAAAATCGCGGGTGCGGCTTATACACGAGACCATTGCTCTCAAAGGGAGTAAACAGGCTTGTAGGGGTCACAAATTGAACTGAAAACCTTCAGTAAATAAAGATTAAACATATTGAAACCTGTCGTTGATCATTGCTTTCAGTAGAAGTGGTGGCTCCTAAAGGAGCCGTTTGTTTGCATCTGCAGGTTCTATACCTGAATCTTGCTCGCCAGTAGTTCTTTTAAGCGTTTCATCTGCGCTTTGTTTGAGCAGTTAAACTCTAACTGGCACGGAATCTGCATTCCTCCGCACAGCTGCTTACAGTGTCGTCTGCGACCGATCACTTCAACGCTGATTTCCCCACTACGTGCAAGAAAATACCACGCTATTCGAGAGAATTCGCGAGGCAAATGGCCGACCGTTTCGTCGTCCTTCACTACTTTCACGGCGTGTTTGTCCATTGGGTTGTTAAACTCTCGTTTAGCAACAAGCTTTTCCCCGATCGATGGTTTCCATACGTCTTTATAAACATGATATCCACGCACAGCTGATGCGAAAGCCAACGTTACGCGTGGTTACTAAGCAATCGTTTTGTAGCATTCTCCAGCGCTTTATTTTCGTTCCATCGTTCCATTTTCATTTCAACTGTGGGCTTTAGCAATGAAGAGAACTGTTGCCTTTCGCAGGAAATGGGGAAATTGATTAAAGAGAACCTTTTAAAAGGTATTTTCAGAGTTGATTAACTTATTTAAAATGTCACTGCAAATACACAACATTAAATTTCCTCAAGTTTATTTGTGAACATTTTGATGCGCGAACAAACGATCACCTTTTTCACAAAAGCGCATTTTTGTTTTTTTTTTTTTTTTTCAAAATCATGCTTGAAAGTTGGGGGTGCGGCTTATACACGAGTGCGGCTTATACACGAGGGTAATTCACGGGGGTGAGGTCAAGGAAGGGGGGAGGGGGGTTGGGCGCAGCTGGAATTGACTGATGCATAAACTTTATGATCTCAGTGATAAAATAATCATATGTGCTGATTCCTTTCTTTCTAGGTCAAACACCATTCTTTACATGTGACAAATGCAATGTGAATAAGCAAAATCTATTGTTTTTGCTCATTAGCATAAGATTCATTGAGTTTTGTTCCTGGCCTCAATGTAGGCGCAGACCTAGGTTAAATATTGACCAATTTCCTAAACGTGTGCATGCAAAAGGCGCAAGTTTCTAGCGGGGTGTGGGGCATGCCCCTGGGAATTTTTTTGTGTTTGACTTCCCTTAAGTCACCTTTTCTGGCTTTTTGGAGTCATTCTGGCAGGATATTGGCCAGATTTTAACTTAGAAAGTTTTTTTTCCTCATCAAAAAAAAAAAAAAAATTTTACGAAAAATCTGACTGTTTTTGTTAAAACAGTGGAAACCAGTGTGGATGCTTGCTTGTAATGACCCACTTAAAGCAAAGATTTTGCAATAAATGTCTTCATAGAGCCAAGGGCTGCAACTGATGACCACACTGAGGGGTTTGCAGTTTTGGGTTCAAATATTACCATTGGGTTGTTTCTCGAGAAAATTAATTTTTCTCCTGTTTGTCCCCCTAATTGAGAAGGACAGAGGGGTTAGGAGCCTGGGAGAATAGGAAGAAGGAGGAGTACAGGAGGTCAGAGAGTATGGGGGAGATGGGAATTCTAAAAGGGTGGGAAGTGGGAGAAATAGGGAGAAAATATTATGCAAAAATGCTTTATATTTTTTTTGAAAGGGGCTAATGGAAGGAACCCAAGAAGTAAGGGATGGGAACTGCCAATCCAGTGTACCAGAGGTGGGAGTTTTGGTGGACCTTCTCGTTCTCCCCTGTTCCCTGCTCCCTCTCTCACCCACTGAGGGTAACCCTTCAGCGGCTTAGGTCTTGTGCCTAGCATCCCGATCAGGAAGGAGGAGAAGCAGTGCTTCTACTGTAGGTTTTTTTGATGCTTCATGCCACAAAATGGAGTTTGTGAACCCTGGGCTTCTAATTCCTAGTCGCTTGTAATGCACTGTTGATTTCTCAACACTTCATGTTCCAAATGTGACCAATGTGAATAATTTTCTAATAGTCCATGTATATATATTCAGGAGAAAAGGTTTTGAGAAAATCATGAATAAATTAACCAGCAAGCTGTGGCTTGAGTAATATGTATTTGTTTATTCCTGGTTATGTCAACAGAAACGAAGACCTATTGGGACTGTTTTTGAAATCCTCATTCCGATTGTTGTGATGGGCATTCTTATTCTAATTCCATTGTAAGTATATTCACATGCATTTAACTGTATATTTTGCCAGCAAGTGTACATTTTGTACATTTACAAATTGTGGTAAAAAATTGTAGATTACTCTTATTTTTCTGCTGTGAGAACAGGAACTGCAAGAACTTTGCTGTGGATCAGGCACAAGTTGGGAAGTTTTATGACAGGCAATTGCACCTCTTTTTTTTAATAAAAAAAATACCACTAAAACATTTTCTTTTCCCTCTATTAGGACATCACCATCAGCACGAGACGAATGTTTTTGTAAGTGTCATTCCTTAACAAAACTGAAAAATTCAGTAATATTTTGAAGCTGTAATGAGGTACTAAAGTGTTGAGACACTTCTGTAAATTGGCCCCTAAATTTTGCATGTGGACATACCTATCCCTTTCCCCTGTGTACCCACACCCCCTTCCCTCAAAACTGATGGTTTATTTTAGACAAATCAGTATTTGCCATAAAGTGAACAGTATATATGTGAAACTTAATGCCACAACAGTGTGTTTTGCTTTCTTTTAGCTGTATATCAATCAACAGAGATTGATGTGAGCAACATGAAGTACGATGGTGGAAAATTGGCTTTCTTCCCACAAACTGAAATAGGTATCAGTTTTAGATTCCAAGTTAGATGATGATGATGATGATGATAATGATAATGATAATAACGCAGTTGAAGCTCTTGTAAGTGACCACCTCTGAAATTCGAAAAAGTGGTTGTAACTAGAACACACTGCAGAATGCCACTTTAGATTATGGTGATAATGACGACATGATGACTGAAAATTAATGCTTATGCAAATTTTGGGGGGATAAACAAGGCTTTTTTTGGTCAATGTGAAAGTGGTGAATTGTATACAAAAGTGAGTTAAAGATTAAGAAATCAACTCACTTATTGTTTTTAAATAGTTTTGCACATAATATTTTGACACAATATATGTCATTCATACTTACTTTAATTCTTTTTAGTGTCGAAGTTGATGGCAAGAGTTGAAAACATTACAGGTTTGGAAGCTGTTAGTACCAGTAACACTACTGGCAAGCCATGGTCATCTGGGGCTAGTATGGCTGCTGAAGTATCTGAGAAAGATCAAAACTACTATTTTGGGGGTAAGCAAATGCAAAATGCCTTATAACCCAAGAAAACAAAAAATAACAACAAACAATTTTACAAAAACAAAGCAAGAAGAACAGACAATGAAAAACAAAACAAAATAGAAAAGAAAAAGAAAAATGCAGTGTTGGTTGGAATGACAGTGCTCCAAGTTACAGAGCTTATAATTCTGGCAATTGTGATTGTCCTTTGTATTCACTGAGGAAAATCTCAGTCAGCTGTACAGTGAAACCTCTATTAAGTGGACCCCCAATTAAGCGGACACCCTCTATTAAGTGGACACTAAGCCAGGTCCCGAAATTAATGTCTTATATTTTCCTTTCTTATGAACCCCTATTCAGCGGACACCTCTATTAAGCAGATGCAGGCACTAAAATAAATTGTATTTGGCTAATTTCTATTGTTAATAAAAAAACCTCTATTAAGTGGACACCAGACTGAATTGTCTTGAAAATAGTAGTATTGGATTACGTCCTTGAAGTACGTACTGTTGTTGATTAATAAAGATAAATCAATACATTTAGCTGTCAATAAACTGTAGATTAGACCGAAAGTCTTTGCATGAAGTACAGCACAGCTTCCTTAGCTTCCTTAACAACATGGAACTTTATCACAGTAAGAGTAAATCATTGAAAGTTAATTGTTAAAAAACATTGTGCAATTTTTGCAAACCTTAAGCTGACACCCTCTATTAAGTAGAAACTTAGGAAAGTCCCGAAGGTGTCCTCTTAATAGAGGTTTCACTGTATTTTACATTACCAACCTCAAAATTGTGTAGCAAGGGTATTAGACATGTATCTGCCTTTTTTATTTCAGCCGTTGAGTTTTTAATTGATGATGAGGACAGTCTTCCAAAGCAAGTCAAGTATGCCATTCGCTTGAGGTCTGAGGTCGATTCGCCATGGAACACAGACTCAACTTATCCACCGCAGTTTATTCCAGAAAGCCCTGATACATGGTAAATAATGATAAGCTCTCAATGTATTGATGTAAATGTAGTTATTTGAAAAACATGCTGAATTTGGACATCATACATTCATCATTAAATTTTGTCACTTTAATGTATCACACATTATGATACAAATGCTGTGCTGCTTATATGATGGATTCACCCATTCACCCTTGAAGATCTTGTCAAAAATTGCTATTTGAAGGTTAAGCCAAGCAGTTTTATGATCACCAGTCATGAAATGACGTCTGAGAAATGAGTGCAGAAATTCCATACTAATGACCTGTCACTATACCCATAATTCTGTTGAAGATCAGTCAAAGCAAATTTCCCTTGTGGCACAACCCAATCAGAAGAACTGTTACCCAGATCCGGGTAGTGATACGTTATTATTATGATATTTCTGGGCTTGTTCCTCAGACATTTTGTGGGGAGATCGACTGAGTGGTAGCATATTTAGCGAAATGTCAACTGTTTTCTTAGACTACATGTAATATAAAAGTAGGCATTAATGGAAAAACTTGGAGCCAATTAAAATGGACTGCAGTTGTGGATTTTGAACTTGCTAGCCAAGTAGTTTTCAAAGTTCATTTTTGTTGCTTGACACAAAGCTTTGATTTTGTTTAGCATCTCTACGACTGAAGAAATAAACCCATTTTTTTATGTTTTAGGCCAGGTTCAAATGTTGAACTTCTTGTGTGCAAAATGAGATTCTACCCTTTGGTTTTCAGCATATTGCAAAATGGAATATTATCTACTGACATTTGAGCTTTGAGGGCAAGGGCCTAAAATTACTACTGTACCACTTTATCCTGTTCTTTTTTTTCCTCAGGAGCAAATATGATTACAAGTTTTTGCCACTTCAGTATGCAATTGATACTGCTATTATGCAAATGCAAGCTGCCTTGTCACATGGCATTCCGGTGAAAATGAAGGCGAGTATATAAATTATGCAGACATGAACGGTTACATGTAGGCCTTCACTATTAATTTCACCGCGTAACTTGGTAATTTACGGTAACAAAAGCCTCATGGTCTTGAGGATTGGGGTTTTAGGAAGTTTGCCTTTGTCATCGTCATCTTTATTATCACTACCATCGCCTTCATCATCCTCATCATCATTGCCATCTTCATCATCGCCATCATTATCATCACAGTTAGTGCCATCATCGTCATTATCATCGCAGCCATCTTACCATCCTCACCTTCATCATCATCATCATCATCATCATCATCATCGCCATTTGCATCATCATCACCATCATCAATTTCATCATCATCATTTTCATCGTTGCCATAATCATTATTGTCAATTTCTGGAGTTGCTATAAATTTGTCTTGTTCTTGGTTAGCTTGTTCTTATATTATAATTATAATCTTGTTGCACAAACCATAACTGACTTTGTGTTTTTCCTGCTGGTACAGATTTTTCCTTACCCAAACTATACAACAGATTATGCGATGGATATCGTATCCCAGCTTATGCCACTGCTGGTTATGTTGGGCCTGACGTATTCAGCTATGACAATTATCAAGGTAGTACAGTTACAATGGAATCCTTTTCTCGTCATAATTGTTTTGTGCTGAAACATTTTTAATTCCCTTAGTTCTCAGAATATTAAACAATGTTTGCTTGGGCAAGGTGTATTAAAACAAAGTTACAACGTCTCATGAAAAATTTTCGGGCTTCTTTACCCTTTAAGCCCCAATATCCTCATACAAATTCTCCAAACTGATCTCTATACATTTTGTTAAAGAATAAGTTGAGAGAATTTGATGAAAGATCAAAGCATTTTCTCTTAGGTGATCAATTTATTAATTCTCTTAACCAAATCTCTTGACAATCAATGGATATGGTTAGGAGAAAATTGATGTTGGACACCATTGGGACTTAAAGGTTAATATCACGGGCTCCTAATCCATTACGTGTACATGTATTTTGGTATCAGTGTATTGTGGAGATTTCTCTTTCTAGTATAGCATAGTTTTGGCTCGTATTCTGTGGAAATAGGTGATGAACGTTTTCCTTACAAGTGTAGTTGGGTTTGCCCCCAAAAAAGAACTTTTTAACGATTTTTTTGCTATTTAAAACTAGTATAAAGCTGTGCTGTTTAGTTCATTTGAAAAATGTTTGCATTAATACATTATTAGTACTAGCGTATGTGGTTGTATTTAAAATTGGAGGTTGGTTAGAGGTTTTGACTAAACTTTCTGTTATATGTATGACTTACATGTACTATATATATTATGGGGAATAATTTTGCTAGGAGCTGGTTCTTGAGAAACAGAGCCGCTTAAAGGAATCAATGAAGATGATGGGACTGCCAAACTGGGTTCACTGGAGTGCATGGTTCACGAAAAACTTGCTGTTCCTTCTCATCTCTGTTGTTATATTTGTCATTGTACTCAAGGTAAGTTAGATTAATGGGGGAGATTGCATCTCTCAGTACAGTTGTTTGTAACTTTATTAAAATCGTTTGAGCAAAGTAATCTCGTAAACAATATGTGTTCTTTCACTTACAAATTTTAAAATGGGCAAAGTCCAACATCTTCACGTGCAAATTGTGTGTATGAGTTATTTTTATAATCCTGTTTACTATATTACTGTGTCATAAGTCCAATTCCCTCACGTACGAACCACGAAAGGGGGCAAAGTCCAACACTTTCCCGTACCAGAAGTGTGACTGCACATCTCATATTGGCTTTTCACGGTAATAGTAACTTGAACGTATGAAGACCAGTTTCGTTTTTTTTAAGGCATTGGCAATGCCCTAAAAAAGGTTCTTGTCTTTTAAGAAGCAATGGCTTTTAAAACGTGAAGAATTAAGATGTCAGAGTTAAAGACTGTTTCACTGAGTAGAATCGCACGTGAAAACCTCGTGAATGATGATGCAACCATCTACCATAATGATAAAAATCCTGGTATTTCGTAACTATTCGGTATTCGATGAACCACATTTTCTTAAGAAACTCCGAGGAAACCTTAGAGTTTTCCTTCTGATCTACGTTTGGTGAGTTGATATTTATTGTACTTTAACAATTTGTTTAACTTGCACCAGATGTATCACTCAGGGAAAGACAGAGCGGGAAAGTGAATATATAGCATGAGGATCGACTCAGCTGAGCGTTTCGCGTTTTCATTCATTTACCCCAATGCCCAATTTTGCACAAAAACCCAGTCCACATTTAGGATGATAAACGTAGATTCATCACTCTTGGTAAGGTTACACTGAAGCATTCAAAATAGCTCATGCACGTTAAACGTGTCTATGTTTCTTAAGGAAATGTATGGAGATCAGTGTAGAGAATTTGTATGTGGATATTGGGGCATAACAAATGTAGCCACTGTGACCTGCAGATTGTTCAGGTAATTCGCCTTGTGAAGGATCGACAATCACATGTCAGTATTTTACGTACTTTTGAAAGTTTTCCTTACTTTAGTTTTGTTTTTATTCTTTCTGTAGGTCCTGGTGTTTAAACATTCAGACGTGACTGTGTTATTAGTTCTGTTTCTCCTTTACATCTTTGCCAGCATCTTATTTTGCTTCTGTGTTAGGTAAAGAATTATTTTTCCTTAATTTTGTTTAATTGCAACTTGTTTTGTGCTTTTCCCAACATAGGCCTTCACCGCTAAATAAACGACTTTATTGACTTGCTCCCCGCCGCCAGAGCGCCCCGGAGAGCTTGCTTGCAGCCTAGCAAAGCAACAACTCTGCAACTCGTGGCAAAATTTTAGAAATTAAAGAAGGTGTAAAAATACGGCTGAATTCAGCTATCGCTGTCGTGGTCCTCTATGCTCCTTACAGACAGAGGCCTGTTGCACTGTCTTCTGGTCCCACCTCACTTAAAACGCACTGTAGTGTGTACTTAATGTACTTATGGCTTGGGATCTAATGCTAACCGCGGTGGTGAGAGCACTCGCTCTCTACCAGTGTGGCCTTGGGTTCATATTCCGGTGTCGATGCCATATGTGGGTTAAGTTTGTTGTTGGTTCTTTCCTTTGCTGCGGGAGGTTTTTCTCCCGGTTCTTCGGTTTTTCCCTCTCCTCAAAAACCAACACTTCAAACTCCAATTCAATCTGGAAAGGACGAACACGTTTAAATGAGTTTTTAAGAACTATTAAGTGTTTCGTGGGTAAACAAATGACAATTTTTTTTCATATCCGCTTATCTGAAGCCACGCATGCCCACAGCTAGGCAGACAGGCGTGGACCCACTCTCCCAGAGCTGAGATTTTTTTTCTCTCGATTTGCAGCGCCGACCAAAAAGATAAAGGCTGTGAGAATGAGAATGGCTTGAACCGTCTTTATCGTTGAGACTTGATTTCTATCTTTGCAGTGTGTTCTTCTCGCGTCCTGTTCTTGGAATGAATCTTGGTCCGCTATTCTGGATCGCAACACTGGTACCCTACTTTGTAGTGTATACTGACAGTAAATACAAAGCAATGACCAGGTACCAAAGACATGTTTACTTAACTAGTAATAACCAAAGGTTAAGGAGTGCAAGTGAATTTCATGCTTCTGATCCAAGGTCAAAACGTCCTTGCTACAAAGCTGGTGTTTTGTGTAAGTGATGCGTGATAAAGGGTCAAAACGCGTGTGTTTAGATTACGAGTGATAGACGGCTTATCGGCTTATCGGCTTATCAGTTTCAAGTCCAATTTATAGAAACCAAAATACAACAAGAAAGACGAAGGACATTTTTCTTTTAACATTGGTAAAATCGTGACCCCTTGTCGATGTCGAATGTCCCGCCATTTTGAGCCTGCGCTCTTTAAACTACTTCCTAGAAAGAACTCTAGTCTCCCTGTATGAGGCTACTATGTGATGATAATACTTTAGCCTGCGAATTCAGACGTCTCTCCCTCCTCGTCCCTCGCCGCTAACTTCCTGCAGGCATGTGCGCAAATTTCTTCTTAGCAGCTTTACATCTTCCGTTGTCACCCAATAGTTTCTGATTCAAATTCTGCGTGCGCGTATGTAGTATTAGCTTACTTTGTAACGAACTCTTCATGGGCAAATTTATCTAAGGAGTGCCACACATGCCGTGCGGTACAAACTAACTAGTAGGCTGATTTAGCAACAGAACGAGAACGTCAGTTGACGACGGCGCGTGCAAATGAAACAACTGGTTTGGCCAATCGCAGAGCAGCAAATTGGGCACCGGAAGTCGAGTTTAGTTCTTTCCGCGCGCTTTCCCGACGTCAAATGACGTTCCCGTTCTGTTGCTTAATCAGCCTAGTAATGAATTGCCAAGCCGGATCTTACGTTGATATTTTCATCACCTAGATTAGAACGCTCTAGTCCTTCTATTGACCACTCTGCCGATGGGCGTGCATACATATCAACTGGTAAACTTCAGTCTATGTATATGTGGATTTCCTTTACAGATCAGAGAAGGCCGGCGCTTGTCTGTTGCCAAACACCTGTTTGGGTCTTGCAGCCAAACTTTTCGCGCAGTTTGAGACCATCCGAGTTGGAATCTCTTGGAAACAGGTTTCCGAGTACCCTTCACCCGATGAAAATTTCAATATGGTTTGGGTGTTTTGCATGCTGTTAGCTGAGTGTGCAATTTTTGGCACTATCACCTGGTGAGTGGACCGTAAATGTGAAGTAAGACACGAATGATTATCGTAAACCTCCGTTTGATACATCTTCGTAAGGCTTTTCAGGGGGGCTCACGAACAGAGAACCGTAAATCCGGGGGGAGGAGGCTTAGTAGTGTAGTACATATAACGAACCACATAGAGATCGAACCGGGGGCGGGGGGTGACCAGAGGGCTTATAACCGAAATAACGAAACAAGATATAATAGTGCTGATTAAAATTCGTTCTGCATTTATTGGTTTTTAATTAAGCTTCTAAACTTCATTAAAAATTCAAACGTCATGATCATTTCAATACCGGCTCGATGGGGGCTTCTGATCAGATTTGTTCACAATTAGATAGGCCCATGCATAAGTGGAGAGGGGGACTTATGAGTAAGGAGTTTATAAGCGGCAGTTTACGGTAGTCAATGTAGGTCCAAATGGCTAGAACACGAAAGGGAAAGAATTTCTCTGTCATCGACATCACCTTTTTCTTCACTAGGTATGTTGAGGCGGTATTTCCCGGAGAGTATGGAATCCCCAAACCATTCTACTTCCCATGTATGCCGTCATATTGGTGTGGTGTTAACAGCCCCAAGGTAAATCCTGACAAGTGACAACAGGAAGGAGGAGTCGTTACGTCACGTTGCCATGGTAGCAAAACTTTTGGATGACAACAAACCGAAAAAGTCACCTAAAAGTCTATTCGCACTATTTTAAACTTCACTGATCTTATTCAATTTCATTTAATTTGTCAAATCTTTGCGAAATTTTCTTTCGGACCGTATCTATCGTTATCTAAGTTAAGAAAAGGAAAGCGACAATTATTTTTTGTATGTGTTCACCTACTCCATAAAGCGGGCTCTTGAAATTAGGAAGTTTCATGTCGTAGTGGTGTAACGCCAAATGTACAAAATGGCGTGATGCAAGTGCAAAGTTGTTGATTGTTAATATAAACATATTATTTTTTGCCGTTCCGCCTTGCCATCGTCGCTGGTTTTGTTGTCATCCAGAAACAAGTCCATACTACCATGGTAACGTGACGTCACACTTCTCCTCCAGGGCTCAAAATTGAAAAAATCCTCAAGTCGCCTTTTGGCGACCAACTGGAGAAAAATAGTCGCCAGATGCAAAGTTTTAGCCAGTTTGTAAATGACACAGTCAGGGCTTCTGATATTTCGCGGGTCGCAGAGCCGCGAAATTCACAAAAACACGCAAAATACCGCAAAATTCGGTAGAAATCTTATCATATACATGTCTGTACAACATGTTTGAAACGTTTGTCAGCTATTCGGGTTATTTACTTGCCGTAAACTTGTAAATTTATCTTGAAACTTCGTCACTGAAACGTGCAAACAACGTTTCGAAACTACCAGGCGTAAATTATGTTGCAAAAACCTGGACACTAGCCATGATGTTAAAGGCTTTGCCATTGGTTCAGTTCTGGAGCATATTGTTATTGAAAGAGCAAATGATGACCTCTGTTAGAAAAACATAATAAAAATGCTGGTCTAGTCAGCCCAAAACCGATCGAACAAAGTTTTCGCGAAAATAACCACAAAATCGTTTTTTTTTTAACGATTGATTTTCGGCTAAGTTTGCCCCAAAAATTCCCGCAAAATCAATCGATTTTTCTGCGAATTTGCGACCTATCAGAAGCCCTGCATAGTATGGTGCGATCCATCAGATTTGAAAATTTCGTGGATAGAAGTCGGTATAAACTTGGAGGTAAACTGGCTTTGTTTATGCGATTTGGCACATTTTTTATTATGAAAGCAAGGCAGGATAGGATGAAATGTTTGTTTTAACTTTACTCTTTTAATTTAAATCTAAATCATAGAGAAATCTGGTCGCCACTTTGGCGACTAACCTAGAATTTTTAGTCGCCAAGGAGAAAATGTTAATCGCATTGGCGACCGTATCAGTCGCAATTTCGAGCCCTGTTACCTCCCTATTAGAAAGTTCCTAAGTAGGAAGGATTGATTACGAAAATAGTTATGCTGAGAGTACCTTAACAAATGAATCCGTCAAGTACTACTGTGCCTATTGACGGAGGCTTAAAGTATAGGACTTGAATGTTGAAGAAATAAATTTCTGTGCTAGTATTAAGAATGTTTTTTCCTCGTTTGTTTTAGCTGAAGTGCCCGTGCGACAATGAGGTATGTCCAAATGAAAAATGAATTTCATGATCGTACTTTCTGTCACTCTGCCAGGCGCGGTTATGAAACAGGTCAAGTGGCTGTTGATGTCTACTGCAATGTCTGTGGAAACGTCAATTGGCACCATGAACAGCCTAGACTACAAAACAGTCCGTATTTTCGCCTAGGTTAAGTGCGCGCGCGTGATCTGTCAAAGAAAAGGCCGGGAGTGAGGATAAAAGTGGAGAGTGAGACTGAGGAGAGACGTGAAAGAGAGATACGTTTTTCTTCTCCTGCTTCACACGTGTGAGGCCCACGCGCTTTCGCGAAAATATCACGCAGGCCCTTTCACCTTGCAAAACCGATCTTGAGGAAAAACCCGACTGTTTTTCAGTCTACCAACAGCCCTATTAAAAACTACACTCACCCAGATAATCGTATCCAAACTAAAACTTACGCGCCATTTATATGGAGAGAAATTGTCCCGGGAACGAGGGTCACCATCCCAGCCGAGTCAACGTAAGCGAGCGGTCCCTGGAGAAAAAAAGTTGACCCATTCATCCCATCCAAGAGCTGACAACGGTGCTCACACCTTGACCGAGTTGACCCGGCTTGGCGAGTTAGTATGTTTATGTGGAGAAAAGTTGGCCCAGCTGCGAGGGTGACACTGCCGTCAAATAAGGGTGACCCGGAAAAACGTGTGACTCTGCTGTCAAATAAGGGTGACCCGGAAAAACGTGTGAACCCTGCCGTCAAATAAGGGTGACCCGGAAAAACGTGTGACCCTGCCGTCAAATAAGGGTGACCCGGGAAAGCGGGTTACCCTGCTATCAAATAAGGGTGACCCGGGAAAGCAGGTTACCCTGCTATCAAATAAGGGTGACCCGGGAAATTAGGTTACCCTGCTATCAAATAAGGGTGACCCGGAAAAGCGGGTTACCCTGCTATCAAATAAGGGTGACCCGGGAAAGCAGGTTACCCTGCTATCAAATAAGGGTGACCCGGGAAAGCGGGTTACCCTGCCATCAAATAAGGGTGACCCAGGAAAGCAGGTTACCCTGCTATCAAATAAGGGTGAGCTAACTTTTGTTTCTCATGTTCACCTGCATACGGTTCGCCAAGTTTTCTAACTACAGGAAATGTAGGAAAAGTTTGAGTGACTACTCCTCCCCTAAACCAACATTAACGCTTACTTTTCACTTAGGGCAAAATGTTGACTTAGGGGACGGAGGGGTAGGTGGGCAGTTGCCCAGAAACGTAAAATTAACCTTAGGGGGCATTAACCTGTTTAGTCTTAGACTACAATACAGCGAGTTTAGATCTCTAACTTTTAAATCTGCTTAAATTTGCTGAACAGGAAATGTATGTGATCTTGAATAATGGTGCTGAATCTCCTGATGATGATGCGGATGGAAAGGCAGATGTTGAAGATGAACCGGACTTGCCAGTTGGTGTTGCCATTAAAAGGCTTCGGAAAGTTTTCAAGGTACATGCATGCTGTTCTTACACTTATTGCCCCATGTTAGGGAATCTGGATTCTGGAATCGCGGAAATTTTTGCCCGTGGAATAAGGGGTTCCTGGGCTTTGGAATCCGAAATACAGGTCAAGGAATCCGGAATCCCAAGTCCCACTGACAAAAAATCTGGAATCCAGTCCCTGAAATCCGGAATCTACGACTTGGAATCCAGAATCCAAGAATGTCTTGGATTCTCTTACATGGAGCGATATTTTCACCCTTCCCCCATTTTTAAATGAACAACGGTAAAGATGTGTTTGTTGTGGCTCAAGGCTTGTTATGTACTAGACTGCTAGCAGTCTCTCTTTTTCTTCAAAATTGGTGAGGGGAATGCACCGCGCGCGAGTGTCGCAATCACGCGCGTGGTCATTTTACTATCTCGCGCGTTTCGCTCGACAGACTAAGGGCGCCTTCCATTTGTCAGAACTGACCGGCCAGCCCTTCCCCATCGTAATGAGAATTTCACTTTTAATCACAACTAACCATCCACATCAGTCCCATCGTAAATATCATGCACAAAGGAGATGGTTTTTCAGCAAAACCTCTTCGAGAAAACCTATTTCATCGCCAAAATGTCTCGTCTGGCCATGGTCCGGCCAGCCAGTTCTGACATTTGGAAAGAGCCCCAAGAGAAAATTAGGGACTGCTCGTAGTCTAGTTATGTATATGTATAATAACGAACTTCCAGTCTACATTTGTAACACACTTTTAGAGAAAAATAATTCGATTGTTCTTTCACATCTTCCGCTTTTAAACCTAACATTTTACGACATTTTTATTCCAAAGGGATCTTCAGGCTCGAAGGTGGCCGTAGATGATCTGTCGCTGAATATTTTCAAAGGTCAAATAACAGCTCTTCTAGGACACAACGGCGCAGGAAAAACCACGACCATATCGATGTTGACGGGACTGTTTCCGCCTACAGACGGCTCTGCTGACGTTAATGGTTTGAGTATCATTTCAGACATGGATGCTATTCGAGAGAGCCTTGGTTTGTGTCCCCAGCATAATGTATTGTTTGACAGGCTAACAGTCAAGGAGCATCTGGATTTCTTTATCAGCTTAAAGGTAAGAGTTAAAGCAGCTTTCACTGAAGTTTCTTTTTTCGGGCGTACGTTTTAAGCAAAGGGAAGCGATAAAGAGTCTCGCCGAATTCGCGAAGTTGGGGAAAATTCAGCGGATTTTGAAAAAGTCATTTGCGAACTTTCATGAACCCCTCGAAACAGTGTCTCGTCACAATTCAAACACCTAAAGTTAGGGGTCAAAAAAGCTTGGTACAGTAATTTTTCATAGAACACTACTCCTAATAAAAATCTTTGGATCGGCTTTGGGTTCATCCCTTCATCTCCTATTTCCCCCTGCAATGTTGTGCCCAAAAAAATTGACTTTTGAGTTTTGCTTATATCACGTTAAACATACCGCCATTGTGGGCCCCATATTTTCGGTGTTTGGTAAGTGATAAAACACTTCTTTCTCGTGTTTGCCGTATTACTGAAGTTGTTTTGTTAGAGTTCATCCCTTCTGAGTAGCAATTGGCTCATTTGTAGGGCAAGTTTGGTGAAGAAGCTGTCAATGAAGTGAACGAAATGATCGGTGACATTCAGCTTGTGGATAAGAGCAATACTGTATCATCCAAACTGTCTGGAGGAATGAAAAGAAAGTTAAGGTATCATAACAAACTCCTAAAATGTTGCTTAAAGTAATTCGGCCTGAACAAAACAGTTTTCACGTTTATTTGGGGGGCAGAGCGGCAGACTGGCCAGCGCGTCAGACTCGCAGGTTCGAGACCCGCTCTGGTCACTTGCGAGATTTGTTCTCGGTTGCCCCGAGTTCAAAACCTAGGCTACGCGTACACGCAGTGCCTGTAAAGTACAATGAATGACAAAAGAGTTGAGACACTATCATAAAACGGCCCCTTTTTGCATAGTGGACTTATCTATCCTCTCCCACTGTGTACTCCCCCCCCCCAAATAAACAACAACAACAACAACAACTGTCCAACAAAGAATCAAACTTGTCTTTTAGACCCGGCTTTCTTCAACTGCAAACAACATTGATTCGGGGGTGGGGGGATTTACAACCTTTAAACAAGATTGGATTATATATGAACGAACTTGTTGCAGGAGCCCATAACCTGGAGCGAGCAACTTCCATGCGCTCGTGTCACGGCGTTTTCACGGACCCGTTTATTTTTAGAACGGTTTTGATGCGAATTTTGAATATCTTTTAAATTCCACAAACCAGTCAGCAAAACCTACAGACCTAAAAAAAAGTATTTTTTGCCTTTTAAGAATGTTCAGTTTTCCTTTTAAATATCTTATACTTCAAATGCGCTCATAGACATGGTGGAGATTCTATTTTCGCGGGAAAAAGTGCCCTAAAATGTGTCTAAAAATATACTGGTCCCTAAAAATGCCGTGACATAGGCCTAGTATGGGAGTCGCTTGCTCCCGCTTATGGGCTCCTGCTTGTTGCTAAAAGCGCTTGGTTTAGACAAGTATGTTAGAGTGATCAGCACTGAATTTCTCCTTGTAATATCAATGCTTTGTAAAACAGAGTGGTCATGAGAATTACAGACGTGATGACACAAGATGAATTTGCTTGATACTTTATCAATTTCTCCCCAATGCTTCTGTGGGAAATGAATAGGGGCAACAAATGAGAATTCAAATTTTGATCCTAGGGTTTAAAGGCTTAAAACTTGCCACTGCCTCATATGAAAAATAAATATTTTCGTATTCTTTTCTTACATCCGTCATGATTTCCTTATTTTCTTAGCAATGTATCCGCGAGTGCCCCATAGATTGCACTTAAGGTATTTGGGAAACTGCCCACCTACCCCTTCCATAAGCGACCATTTTGCTCTAAGTGAGAAGTAAGTATTAATGTTAGCTTATGGGAGGGGTAGGTGGGCAATTTCCCAGAAACCTACATTGATCCGATGTTAATATTCACAGTTGCGCTATTGCCCTTATTGGAGGATCTGAAATTGTTTTCTTGGATGAGCCCACCTCGGGAATGGACCCCTACGCCAGACGAGGCACCTGGGATTTGCTACTGAAACACAAAGCAGGACGAACCATCATTTTGACCACTCACTTTATGTAAGTGTTGCCCAGGGGCTTGATATACATCGGTGGATGTAAGATGCGTTGTCAAAAAGCACAGTCATCGATACAAGATTAAAAAAAAATCGTAAGAAAATTATTTAGTTCAGATCTTGAAATTCCGGTCTTAAGGTGCTTATTGCTAATATCATAAAAAAAGAAGAAAATTCCTCCGCTGTGAGTGATTTTGGCTGTAATTTATAAAACGAGCAGGAGTTTATTATCCGGTTTAAAAATTCGAGGCTTCGTCTCCTATTGATCAAACACGATTCCGATTTTTTTGAACGGCTTCAAAAGCTCTGATATAGATTAACTAATTCTTGCACTAATATTTAGATTTGGAGTTATTTTCCTCCAAAAAATTGGACGTAACTTTTAGCCGTGTCTTTATTAGATACACTTATTAAACATGAATTTCTTTTGTTTTTTGTTTTTCTTTATGAATTATTAATGAGTTTTTGAGGCTGGAAGCAAAGCAGCTTTTGAATTTATACAAAAAAAAATCGGACATGAATAAACCACAGGACGGTCTCATTTTTGAGAACTTAAGTATGTTTTCTGAACAATGCCGATGGGCCAATAGATCAATGGCAATATAATATATAATTTTTTTTTTTTTTGCAGGGATGAAGCAGACTTGCTTGGAGATCGAATCGCTATTATGGCTGATGGACAGTTACGTTGTTGTGGAAGTTCATTGTTTCTCAAAAGCCGGTTAGCTGCATCGTTTTTAATTACTTGTTATGTAACGGCAAAATATTTCTTTGCATCACACTAGAAACGAAGTTAGTTACAAGTAAGCACTTGATTCAAGTGTACTTGGAAATCTTAAGTCGCTCTGTAGAAAACATGGCTTCACACTTGTTGACGAAGTCTATCACTTGAAGTTAAAGCTGTCAATCTCTCCGATCATGAGAATGTTGGAACCGCTACACATGCACATCGTGCACATGGCTTCCATATCTTAAGATGATATTACATGGAACGATTCGCAACGACGATTTTAAGTGCAACAAAGCTTTGCAACATTGTTGCGACATTGTTTCGAATAGTTCCAACATTGTTCCAGCATTGCAACGCTGTGTTGCGTTAAAAATCGTCGTTGCGAATTGTCTCATATAACATCACCTTTATTGGTCAAGTGTTTTCTCAAGTGTGGTGCAGACCATAGTTCGGCTTCTTTGAACTACGAACGTTTCCATGGACACCCTGCAAGTACAGTTGAAGTAGCTACATTTTACCCTTTCGCACTCAAACTAGGCTCCAAGTTCACTTACCTTAGACTTAAAGCTCTAGTTTGAAGGCAACAATTACCATCAGTATTGTATGTTTATTTTATTGAATGCATTTATGCCATAACTAGCTTTTACTGGTGTTTTTTTGGTTGCTGTTTCTAGATATGGCGTGGGGTATCATTTAACTTTGGTCAAAAGAGAAAGCTGCGATGAAGATGCCATCTCAAACCTGGTGAAAAGCCACGTGCCAAAAGCAGAAATTATCAGTGCGGTCGGTACAGAAATCCAGTTTGTTCTGACCAGTGAAAGCTCACAGAATTTTGAGGCGCTTTTCTGGGAGTTAGAAAGTGAGTAATTTTTCACCTAGTCAGAGATGTTATATTTTCCATTTCAAAATTTAAAACGCGCTCTTTTAGCTGTCTGTATGTTTGAAATACTTCCCTGCTTCCTCAATGGCTACGTTCTCGTAAGGTTTTTCAATTTCTCAACGGTCAAGCCTTAGAAAACAGCCGACATTTTGCAACGCCTTCACTGGTTTCTACGCGAAATGACGACCAAGAAAAGCGGGCAGAAATTCCATAATGATGACGCGTCACTCTGGGTAGTGCTTTTGGTTGGTCGTGAAATTTGCTTCAACCAATCAGAAGCATTACCCAGATCTAGGTAGCGACGCGTCGTCACTATGGAATTTCTACGCTCGTTTGTCAGACGTCATTTCTCGGGGAAACCAGTGGTAGTGTCGCCATATGCCGGCTGTTTTCTCAGACTGTGGATGGTTCAATCATATGTTATTCTAAAGCTTCGGATCAGTATTCGGGTATATGTACGACTTATAATCGGTCGGTATGACGCCAGTGATGTATTCGCATGAACTAATAGGCAGACTTTGTCTCCAGACAATCTAGAACAATATGGAGTCACAAGCTTCGGCGTCTCGGTGACAACATTAGAGGAAGTGTTCATGAAAGTCGGGGAAGGTGCTGAGAAAACACTACATGACCAGTAAGTATTCTATATCTTAGAAAAGCTTAGAATTTGTAAAAAATCGTAAATCGTTTTCTCATGTCTGTTGTACTGCTGTATCGATGGCAAAGCAATGGCGGCGGTATTTGTGTTATCCTGTAGGAGTTCCACTCCATATCTTAGATAAAAACAAAAATAAACTAAAACAGCTGCTGTTCACATGAGTTAAAATGCTCTATACGTGTTGTTTTCGCACAACACTGTAAAACGTAAGTTACCCTTGAAGCCCTTGTCAAAATTTTCGTGGTAGTTCTTCACAGTAATATAACCAATTTATACAAAACCATTCTGTAGCTTTGCTCTGATCACCCAAAATACGAGTTCGCACAAAGACACCTTATAGTATTCTATGTCTCCTTTTTTAGAGTTGTCGATCAAAAACATCGTGCTGAACAAGTATTTGGTGGAGCAAGCCAAATTCCTATACCTGAGGCTGACGCAAGCTCAGTCGGAGGTAAGTTTGTATAATTTCCGTCTGTAGTAATCGGAAGTTGAAGCTACACTTGCACTGGACAAGTTTTCCAACTCACTTGAAGTCTTTTTGCAAGATTTCAGTCGAAACGCATGACTATGGCTGACGTTGATTCTTCGAATTTCATTTTTGCGTTCTGAAATTGTCGTACTCTTGCAAGGTTCTTGCTGTTTGTTGATAACTCGAATCAGTAGAAACCAACTAGCATACTATCATGAATTCTGCACTCTGATTGGCCAACGTATTCCCCATCCAGTTCTATCTACAGGCCATTTGCATGATGGCATCATTTTACTACTACGACCAGAACCCTTTTCGTTTTTCTATACATGTTTGAATTTGGTAATCGCAGCGAGATTTAAATGACAAAAGCCGTAATTTGCACAAGAAAGGAAAACCCTGATGGATTCTGGTCGTACTAGTAAATGATGTCATCGTGCAAATGGCCCATTTCGTGAAAGAAAGTGAGAAGGGAGCCGACGCTTTGAACAAAAATAAGACAATGGCAACTTCTTTGGCAAATTGTTTTTAGAATTTTCTGACGAAAAAGTAGTTAAACTTAAAAATGATGCGCCTCCATAAAAGACGGAATTAACATTTTAAATGGAAAGAAATACAAATTTAGTTGTTTATTTATGACAATCAATCAATCAATCAGTCAGTGATTTATTTTAACACGTTACATCGAGGAGCTAAAAAACTCGTTCAAAATACGAACGTGTATAAATGAATCTATAATAATTACAGCTATAAAATAATATTATTCTATTTTAAAAACAACTCAATAAATATATAAAAACTTAGCAATAAAGGCATAAAATATAAAAAGCTAAAACCTACTAAAAACTACATACAAAAACGTGAAAGGAAAACTACAAGACACGTTCTAAAAAGCTACAATCTTGCAATTTACTTTTGAAGTCATTTGCATACTTGAGAGGGCGAACTGTTCCATAACTTAGTTGATAAATAAGTCAAAACTTTTCCTTTTAAATTTAGCTGGATTAAAATTAGGTAATTCCAAATTCGAGCCCTCGCCTCATAGCCCATACGGTGCATGCCATTATTTAAAAAGGTTTCTAATATAAGTGAGTCCCGTACCACTTAAGCATTTGAAAAAAAGTATTAACGCCTGATGTAAGCCCCTACAATATAAGGATTTCATGCTAGCCGTGGTGAGCAGCTCATCATATGAAATTGACTTCTTGGTCCGATTAATGGTCTCAAAATATAACAGTTGCCATCTTCCAGACGATTGCGTTGACCTTTGCCTATGCCTACAAACAAACGACCCTTTCGGGAATGCAGTTCAAAGGCTTGTTTTCATGTATTTTCATCAAACCTTGGTATATACTAAACTGAATCAGTTAGAATACTCCTCGTGTCAAAGGGCGCAACTCAGCGCTACGAGCCTCGCTGACTATTAAGTCATAGAAATTCGAACGCGTAGGTCCTTGCGGCTAGTCATTCACGTGCTACAAAACCCGCCATGCTGGAGAGCAAGACACGCACTGGGAGAAAACAAAGTGAAAAAAAAAAGGAAACCGTTTTACAGCAAGGAGCCCAAAAGTGTGACCTCCTTTATTCACTCACATTCTTTCATGCAGACATTAACCAATCAGAAGTCGAGGACAGTTTCCAGCTGGCTTCTGATTGGATTAAATCTGTACGAAAGAATGTGACGAAATCAAAAGCTGTTACACTTTTGGGCTTCTTACTGTTAATGATGTGGGCTGTTTGAGTTTTCTGTCCCAGTGGGTCCTGCGGTTTTGTACCACGTGAATAACTAGCTGCACTGAAAGGGCCTATTGTTAATTAATCAGGAAACAACGACTAAAGGACACTTTTCAATCGAGAATTCAACTTGATATGTGTAATTTTCTTGACAGAATTCAACACAGGATTAAGCCTGAAATGGCAGCAATACAAAGCCATGCTGTTAAAACGTTTTCTGAATGCTAGGCGAGAGAAGAAACTGGTTTTAACCCAGCTGATACTACCTTTGTTGATGGTTTGCTTGGCATTACTGCTTATAAAGACTCTTCAGGAACCAATGCAGAATGAGCCTCCACGCATACTGAACTTATCCAATTTGAGCATTAAAGGGGCTCCCAACACTGGCTTCTACGCTGACTTCCGTCCTAACGTTGATCCTGACAAAAAGAACGCACTTTTTGACGTGAGTTGGAGGTTCCCGCGTTCTTTGATAGAGACCTTTAGATTCAAGGATGATGACGACTAGGAGTACGAGATTTGGCTTAGAGTTTTTCGCACATTCTCAAAATATAGACTTCCCGGAAAGCTTCATTTTACCATTTTTGACTAGAAAAGTTAGCACTGTTACCTTTAGTGAAGGAGGTTATACCCTCTCTCGATCGTAAAATTATAAAACTTCTAACATTTGATTACTTGTTTCCGTCACTTCGACATTCTCGCTAAAACTCGTGGTAGAGTGAAGACGGCTACCACGTTTTCCCGCCAAAATGAGGCTGGTTCACGCGCGTGCACTCACTGCTAAATATTGAGGAAATCTCGTACTCGTTGTCGTACTTGTCTTGGAATCTATTAAAGGCTTCTTATATTTTAGTTTTAAGCTGTGTTCACACTTTACCGGAAGGCTTTGGCGCCCACACGAAAACCATACCGGAGAGGGCTTCTGTTCCCGCTTACGAACAGTGATTTCGGCGCGATTTCTGTAACAGTAGGGACTTTTAGATCCAACGACGCGACAGCAACGAGAACGTCGCTTAAAAAGTGAATTTGAGTTCTTACAGTCTTTATAGCGATTATTCCTACCCACTTACTTTGTCAAATGTAGGCGAACCCTCCTGAAGGTGAATTTCAAATGACCATATTCAAGCTCAGAAAGAGAAATAAAATTTCATCGTTGCTTGTTTACGTCCTCCATAAAACGTGAATTTAGGCATTTTCACGTCGTAATCGTGCAAAAACGGGAAAGAAAGGTACAAAAAAGTGTGATGCACGTGCAAAGTTGTTGCTTTGCTTATTAAACGTATTGTTTTTGTGACGTTCTCATCGCCGTCCGCGTCGTTGGATCTTAAAGTCCCTAGTGCGAAGCTGTATAGATGTCTAGCGGTCCGTTGTATTATAGAGTCTAACATAAGTTTGATAGGTTATCCTACTTTTTTTGACGTGAGTTGGAGATTTCCTCGTTCCTTAACGTCTTTTTCGGGTACTAAATGAACCAAAGAAATATTGACTGGAGATCTGTAGGCGCCAATATCTTATCGTAATTGTGAAATGAAACAATCAGCAGATATTTGAATCAAAATTTTAATGAATAATACTTATTATCATTCGTTGTACAAATAATGGTCTGCTCATGCGCACTGTAATCCAGATCAATTATTTGCCAAAGGCGAAGGCAAGTAATTGATCTGCTCGCCCTGATAAATCACAATATTTTGCTCAACCTGGTACAATAATTGTTAATTAGTCTGCATGGGGGAATAAATGTATCAAAAGTTAAATCTGCGGTTAAATAATTCATCAACCCTGTTGTCTTGTCACGTGTTGAGCTGAGGCGTAGCTTGAGATTTTGAATTTAGGGTCCCGGAAATGTCGTTTCCTGCGTTTTCCGGAGGACATTTTCAGTAAATAAATACAAAGGAAAATGAAACAGTTATTTGTTTATTTTACCTATCTCTAGCATTATGGAATAATACTGAAAATGATAAAGGATATACTAACAGAAAGACACAATATAATGCGAAAAATTAAACAGTCTCCCCATTGTAATGATAAAAATGTTTTCAGGAAAAAAATTAAAAATACATTTTTTTTTCCAGATTACAGCTTTACGCAAGGGTATGTGTGCTTATATGGGCGTTACCCTTCTGCTGAGGTTTACAAAGGCGCGCATGTGACTTAAATAATACCTTTTCATTTGTCATAAAGATCTGTTGTATAATAAAGGCTAACATAATTCAGTTAAAATTGTTATTTTCAGGTGGCTTCTAAACACTTAAAGGACGTAAAAGTAACCTTGAAAGACATTCAATCGGATCTTCAAAAAATACAGAGTGGCAACCAAGGAAACAGTATATTGGTGGAGGGGGAAAAGTTTCAGTACAAGGACGATGAAAAAGACGTATGCTGTAATTATGAATTTCTGGTCCTGAATGCCAAGTGCAAGAAAGCTGTAAGTTGCTGCCAATCCTCAGTTTGTAACTACTTGATGACAAGGTCAACGTGTTGCGACTGGTTAGCAAAACTATAAAGACCTTTAGTTTCGAGGTCGAGGTCGTTCAAAAAAAAATCAGACATCCCGGAAAGCGTCATCATACTTTTTTCACCAGAGAAGCACGGTTATTATTATTAAATGAGGTTAACCCTTACTTGATCGCAAAATGATTAAACTTCTAACATTTGATAACAAGTTTTCGCCACTACGACATTCTCGCTAAAACCCGTAGTAGAATGACGCTGGCTATCACATTTTCCCGCCAAAATAAAGCTGGCTCACATGTGTGCATTACTTAGTATTGAGCAAATCTTGTTCTCGTAGTGAGTCGTCCCTGAAGGTCTCTGATACATTTTTTGTAGAGCTTGTATGAAAAAAGTCTAGCTCCAAGCAAAGAGAAACACTTTAATTTGTTTTTGTCAGCAAACATGACCTTCACACGTCTGCTGGAATCCAAAACTTCCTAAATATAAAACAGCAATTGCGCTTTTCATTTGAATTTTCAAAAGAAGGTTCTAGGTTTCTTTGATGCCAGTTTTCTTAGGTGTGAATTTTCTTAGTTCATTTGAATTTTTAATCTTAGCCTTTGTCATTATGACAAATACTACTACTACTACTACTACTACTACTACTACTACTACTACTACTACTACTACTACTAATAATAATAATAATTGATGTAGAACCACCGTAATTTTGTGGCACTCACGTAAAATCTGCATTAAAAAGGATTAAACTTTCTCTTTTTTTCTTTGAAGTTCACATCAAGCGAATTGACAGCTGAATCTTGCAAAACGAACAAGAATTTTGGTTACAATTACTGTCCTGAATGTATCAACGACGACGAAAGGTAATGAATGATAAGTAAGAATATCGGATCGTAGCAATGTTTATCACTCTCTTCGAAACACGCCTTTGCATTGTTGATTGAAATACGTTTCGCATTTACTGGTATTTAAATAAGCTTCAAACGTCATAGTAAGTCGAATTCAAGGAAAGAAAAGGTACAGGGGGGCTTTTGTCCGGAGGGGAGGTATAATTGGATGGGATCATAATCGGATGTATTTTTTGCTTACATGTAGATGGGCTTATTACTAGGGGAGGGGGATAAGTGGTGTCGCTCATGAGCGGTAGTTTACGGTATTCTTTTGTTAATAGGGCGCTTATGGTGATGTTACGTTTTCAAAAATACCCGGATACGTGTAGACGGGGCCTAAACTTATTGTTTTTTTGCCTTTCTCGTTGCCGTCGCCGTCGCCGTCGCCGTCGTGATTGCTTAAGCTTTTAAGCCCCCAGATCCACATACAAATTCCTGAGACTGATCTTCATACATTTCTTTGGAGAGTAGTTGAGAGAATTTGATTTAAAATCAAAGCGTTCTCTCTTTGGTAGTCAATTTAGTTATTCTTATAACCTCTACTCTTGATGATCTGCTGATGTTGTTAGAAGAAAATTGTTGTTGGTCACTCTTGGGCGCTGAAGAGATAACACCCTTTTTTTCGTTTTCCTTTCAGCTCGTCCGATGAATGCAGAAACATAGGAATTGGTAACACGAAAGTGAACGATTCAATGACATTCTATAATGAATATGTGCTGGAAAAAAGTAATGCTGCTGATTATTTTAACACACATGTTGTGGGTTTTAGCCTTGAGTCACGTGATGGTAACTCGATTAGTGACCTTGAAAGTATTAACACGACAGTGTGGTATAGCAGTAAGGTGGGTACGATAGACAGGACACCTTATGAAGCTTAGACATTGTAGTATTCCTTATCGCTCCCATGACGTCACGTTCGCCATATTGGTGTCACAAGGCAGTGAAACGGCGGCCATTTTGTTGTTTCAAAGCACGGTCCTGCGGGAGTTGGACCTTTTTCTTATGTTTAAACCTTTTTTAGTTCCAATAAAAATTTGTTAGCTGTTGATTAGTTTAGAAGCAAAAAAGAATACTAGCAAGTTTCGAGTTACGTCAAAAAGAACGCAATAATGATCCCTGCACAATAATACAATAAACTTCACACATAAGAACGACACAAAAAAGTGCATATATTGACTTGGTACTCTATCGAGCATCACGCATTCGAACTTTATAAGTTGCCCAAGAGGTTTTACGGCGATCTAGACTAATGCTTATCTTTTGCGACTTAATTGCAAAATAGTTGTTCTAGAGTGTTAAAAAAAAAAAAAAAAATTCAACGTGTAGGAAAATTTCGAATTCTTCACCTTATTTAAATATGTGAGAACTCTTGTACGTGTAGACACGGTGTCGTTGTTAAAATGTCCTATAGACCTTTTCTGCATTCCTGTAAACAAAGGCATCAAGTCGAGGCTCGGATGGACAAAATACGGCGATTTGTATGAAATTGTCCATCCGAGCCTCGACCTCATTTTTCTCTGTTTGCTCACAGGAGCGGAATGCGGGAAAGGTCTTTTGGCGTATTAGTATGTGGATTTGCTGATGTATTTTTAATTACTTACTTATTTATGTGTTTAACTTTGCACGTATTATTTTGATCAGGGCTATCATACAAAACCAGATGCACTGAGTGCTTTGGTGAACGTTCTGTTGGCCTACAGCAAGAAAGATGACTCATATCACATTGAGACCATTAACTATCCTCTGCCACTCAATTCCAAACAGCGGGTAACTTCCTTAGCATAATTGCAGTCTTGATAATGATAGATAATAAATATTTCTTTTTCCCAGTTTGTATGTTATAATGCTAAATAGTAACATTATAAAGAATTTCGGACGAATGTGTTATGTACAAGAAGCCTTGTATTGCAAAAGTAGAAAAAGGGTTTCATTTTATCCTGTTCAGTTATCGTTAAAAAACTGATTAAGAATGGAAATAAAATTGCCATCAGTTTTTTGTCCTTCCTCTGAATAATAACATGTCTTAAGCACTCAAAAGTGTCTTGTTGTCTTGTTAGAAAAGATGTTTCTTTTGTCAGCAGGCATCTTGGGTCACCAGAAAGTCATTTGTACTATTCCCTTAAGCCTCATCCACACGTAGCTTATTCGAATCGTTTGCGCCCGTCCACACATAAAGGCGAAAACGATGGAAATACGATTGCATGCCTTACGGTGCATGCGTTGTAAGCCGGCGTTTTAAAAAACGCCACTCTGATGATCGTTTTCAAAAACCTACGTTTTTTGATGCCCGAAAACGCCGTTTACGTGTGGACGAAAGGCTAAAACGGAGGAAAAAAATGTTCGTTTCAAAAATATCGGGACACATGCTTTCTTAAGCAAATTCCTTCGTGGATTCTTGCAATGACCAGCTATGCTAATCATGTTATGAAATAATAATTAAGATTGTTTGTTACTTGTGCTAATAACTCATTCAAGTCCTTTGTGTGTTTTGTTTTCTCCAGAGTGAAAATATCTGGGCTGAAATGAGCTCGTTTTTCCTCGCTCTGCTTTTGGCTTTCGCTGTCGCGTTTCTCGCAGCAAGTTTCGTGCCATTTTTGGTGAAGGAGAAAAGTTCAAAGGTTTGGTTGACTTTTGTACATTGAATGTTTTGGTTCATTTGTGCGCATGTAGAATGCAGGTAGCCTCTTATTGTCCGTTTTTATACTAGAGAACGCATTATTCGTCTTGACCAACGTGGGCAAACATTTGTAGTTCATCTGGTTATGCGTCTTAAGTATAAAGACAGGCACAAGACGCATTATGCGTCTGGACGAACTTTCCTTCGAAATACGTCTTGAACGACGCACTACGAAACGTAGTTCGTCTGGACGCATAATGCGTCTTATGCCCGTCTTTATACTGTAGACGCATAACCAGACGAACAACAAAATATTCGCCCAAGTTCTTCCAGACGGATAATGTGTCCTTAGTATAAAAAAGGCCATTCCCTTGAACGTCGATGGGTTAGCGTGCGCGAGCTGCGAGCGGCGAAGCAAAAGGCGCTAGAAATTAGGGTGGTTTGGCTAAAAGCTAAATTCTAAAAGCTAAACTCGACAATTCGAAGAGAAAAGGAGGAGCGGATGCGGTTATCATGGTCGACTTCTTTTTAATAATTACCTTTCTCTAGAATTCGCCGTATCAGCGAAGTGTTCACTTGACTTACAATCACTGCGGTTCCCTTTCTTGTGTTCGTGCAGGCAAAGCATCTCCAATTTGTAAGCGGCGTGGACGCCGTCTCCTTTTGGCTGGCCACCTATTCATGGGACTTCATCAACTATTTATTTCCACTGCTTGGAATTATGATCATGTTTGCAGCTTTTCAAGTAGATTCACTGAAGAATGATCTTGGTGCGGTTTTTCTGTTATTGGTAATGACAACACCAGTTAGTTTGGTCCAGGCGTCCAGATAGTGGCGGATGGCGCAAAGCGACTAAAGTGGGCAGGAAAAAGGGAGAGAGGGCGATAGAATGTCGTTCTCTCTTTTTGTCCACTCCCTCTCTACCGTTTACTATTTCGAGTTACTCTCCTTTATCTCGACGCTAAGAACAGGCTGCTATAATTAAATATTGAATTTTCAGGTTTGACAGACACCCAACCGTACATACATATTTGTATAGGTAATAGCATGATTTGTAGTGATATTTGGCATAAATACCACGAGTGATATTTCAAAATGTTATTCGTAATTTCACGAGCCGTTAGGCGAGTGAAATTTGAAACAATTTTGAAATATCACGAGTGGTATTTATGCCAAATATCACGTACAAATCATGCTATTATTTGTTTATACTACTACCCACAAAAGGTTTGTAATTTTCACATGTAGGTATTTCAAATTAAGCTGAAATACCACTGCTCTAAGCCAATCAAATTGCAGAAATTTCTCATGTAGTAGTATAAAGCGGTTAATTTTCTGTGCGATTGCACGTGATTACAGCCTGAATGAGAGGTTGTGTTAGGTTTTTAAGGATTTTTTTAAATATAAAATTGATCAATAGGGAGCTTAAGCAGCAACGTTTCTGAGCGACGCACGTCAACCGGAAGTGGCCTTTTCTCATTTTTTGACGGTGGTTTCGCGCAAATTTTCAGTCAAATCGCCTCTATAACAGTAAAGAAGCTAAGGAATACAAATTTTATATCATCAAGGCATGTTAAGAGGGAAAATACCTCACTTCCGGTTGACGTGCGTCGCTCAAAAACGTCGCTGCTTAAGCTCCCTAATAGGTCTACTTTCTCTTGAATATTTCCTCGAGCGTCACCGTTTGAATTGCGTGGCGTCATTTAAAGAAAGTCGATTTCCGCCATCAGGCGTTACTAAATCACGTTCTCATAGTTCAAAATGGCGACCCACGTAAGTTTTGGCCATGTCCACACCAATCCGCACATCTTTGAAACCGCATATTTTTTTATATCCGGATTCGTGTGGACGCGGCCTTATTCGTGTTTCTAGTACATTCAATTTTGTATCCATTAGAAAAATATTTGCCGTTAAAAGTTATTTCTATCAAGTTAGCTCTTCTTCTTGACAATGGATTTGCCCTGAAATAATGCAATGCACTGCTCACTCAGTACACAAAACTGAGTTTCTGTTTTCCTTTATTTTAGCTTCTTTCAGGGTTGTGTATGCTGCCATTCGTCTATTTGGTTTCATTCCTGTTTAAAGGACCCTGGGCAGCCTATGAGACGACCGTGTTTGTCCTGTCTGTTGTTAGTATGGTAAGACGAGTCACCTACATAGGTAATATTGTTGAATTTACTCAACTAAACAGGGACTACCATTGGTTGATTCTCGGTCAAGTGACCTTGACAAAATTCGAATGCATCCCGACCGTGATACAATTCAGTAATTGACCGCTTCAGAAAATACCATAACATACCATAATACTCTTTGTTTTTAACCCCCAAATTTTGCATAAGCATTGTTTTCAGTTTCTCTTGGGGCCTTTTCAACTCCCAAGAGAAACTGAAGGCAATGCTTATGCAAAATTTTAGGGTGACAAACAAAGAGTATTATGGTCTGTCTGTTATGGTATTTTCTGGAGTGGTCAATTGTACCCCGCACGTGATAGAACAGCATGTGATCAAAGCATGCTGGACAGTTGTGTTACCACCATGGCGAGAGAAACGCGGCCAGTTTTCACGTTCGAGAATGAACGCAACAACATCATGAAGCCTGAAGCTTAAAAGCACTTAGTATTGTCGAAGTCATCCAAGTCGAGATGCAGAGTATTTTTGTGGAAAAATCAGCAGGGACATACTCACCCTTGCATGCAGGAGATTAAATGTCTTCTTTGCTGAAAAGCACTTCTTCTTAGTGGTTGTAACTCGGCCTTCCATACAACCAGCGCCCTCCCCCCCTCACCCCGTCAATTAATAATATGAAGTAATTTTGGTTTTGTGGGGGCATAACAATGATTTTTCCTTTTTTCATTTTAGGCATTTCTGATAACAAACAATATCCTCACTTTTAACGGCCAGAAAGACGATGCTGATATTGTTCACTTTATCGGTCTGTTATTTCCAACCTACTCGTAAGTTTGCCTTTTTTTTGACATATTTACCTTTATTTGTTGGTCTTGAGTCATATTCTTCTCTCCTGTAATACTAAACGGAAGAGTCATATAATCGGAGAGAAAATTTGAAAATCTGGCGGGAAATTTGAACGTTTCAAAAACATAAAAAAATCTAAAAATGTCTGGTTGAGTTTAAATCGCATGGGTTCTCGTTTTAACGCAGGTAGCCCAAGCTCGAAATATGACCATCAGCACTGTTGCGTAACGTTCAAAATATAAGGATTTGTATGGGAGAAGAAATAATTGTTTCTGTAGCCTACGGATGTGAAAGGATTTAAATAAAAATCGGCTAACCTTCTTCTTTCCTGTTTGGTTTCCAAGCTGATATATGGCCATTTAATGAGTTTTGTGGGAACCAGTTTGCTCTCTCGAATGGAAAGGATTATAGAGACCTATAGAAAGATATGTAGCCATTTAAAAATATTGCGAGCCTGGGCCACTTGTAGTTCAGTTTAATAAAACCTAAAATCCTTAGGTCAGGGCACTATAAATTAAGTAATTATGAACATTCTTTGTGTTCGTTTAATAACAGCCTTTCTGCCAGTATCATGGACATCAGTCAAAACAATATGAATCGAAAACACTGCCAGCCCGAGTAAGTAAACAATCCCCTGTTCATTTTTTTAGTGCCTTTTATATTAAATTTGTCTTGGAAATACATTCACATGCACTTAAATAAACCCACTTCTCGAGATTCATTTCTAGTAATAGCCCTTATGCATGTTTACGTCACACAAGCAAATTTCACCACCAAGCCTCCTTTTGAAATTAAAAATAAGCGAAGCTTCACAGAAATGAATTCCCAAGGTAGTAGAGTTGAAAAGAATACCCACGCACAAAAAGTGCAAATGCAAAAAATTTTGTTCACAAACGAGGCTTGTTGGTGAAATTTACTCGTCTGACGTAATCATGCGTAGGGGCTATTAGCTCCTTTGCACACGCTTGGATTTCACTTAGTAATGGTTCGATAGGGGGAGGGGAGGGACTCCTGGGAATTCTTGGTGAGGGTGTGCCGCTCGGTTCTCCAAATCCTGACCCTCAAAAAATGCCGGTCTTTTTCACATCCATTCTTACATCTGGCCTTTAAGAAATTATGTCATCATTGCTTAGATTAGAACAGCAACAAAAAATATTTCTTAAAATTCATTTCGAATTCTCAGATTTCTCTTTCTTTCTTATTCGTTTGGAATGAAACAATAAATACGTTCGTGTATTCCCCTAGTTCCCTTGCAAACCATATCCGATTCCAGACCAAAATGAACTAAGTCTATACCCGTTCTGAGACCAAAACGGCGCAACACCGTGCCCTTTGGGGCGGCACATACCCATATGACTTATATAGGGAAGTAAACCCCCGCGGGCGGGGGTTTGCCGAATGGCAAGCCATCACAAAGCTTTGAATGTTATCAGTCGAAGCCTTCCTGGGTTAATTTAAACGTCCTTTAGGCCTTCTTGCCGAGTCATTTCGGTTAATTTTCAACATAATTAAAAATAAAAAACTATAAATTGTAATTTTTTACCCATTAAGCACCAAAGAGTTCTTAAAAACTCGTTTAAGCGTCTCCGCGCGCTCCAGATCGAATTGGAATTTGGAAGTATTGGTTTTTGAGGAGAGATGGAAACCAGAGTACCCGGAGAAAAACCTCTCGGAACAAAGGAAAGAACCAACAACAAACTCAACCCACATATGGCTTCGATGCTGAGCTTTAAAGTCGGGCCACACTGGTGGGAGGCGAGTGCTCTCACCACTGCGTCACCATTGCTCTCCTAACTAGCCAGGAATGGTTCACTGACTCGATCGCAATCAAAGCTTTGTGATTGGAATGAACGCTTGGATGGCGTGCCATCCAGAGAGCCTTGCTAAGTGGTATCCAAGCACCTGACCAATTTCTGCAAAGGAATTATTGTGACTCTTACCTTAAACCTGTCATTGACTCTGCAGATCTGGCCTTCCTTGCACGTGGACAAAAAATGTTCTTGATTGGGACCGTCCGGGGGTGGGTCAGGCTACATTGTACATGTTCGTGGAGGCGATTGTTTTGTTCCTATTCATTCTTCTTATTGAGGTAAACATTTCGCTAGACTGTCCTTCATGCCCTATTTTTTCGGCGGTTGTTAAGCGCGAACACGTCTTTCAAAAGGCTGCCACTTGATTTGGCACGGTGAAATGCTTATTTCCAGAAATATCCATATCTCCCGAAGGCACTTTTGTTTAGACGACCCAACCCAATGTACTTGTCATTGCCCATCGCCCCTGGAATTTCCATGATTTTCCCACTTGGTTGGATATCCCCTGGAAAGAATATTTCTATCAAAAATGCTGATGCACTATACTTCAATCTATGCCATCTCCTTCCCCTCGGATATCGCCGCCTTTTGGACACCCTTCCCCCCTTCCTCAGAATATCCTTTGTCCTTGGTTGGCGTGTATGTATATTTTCTGGAACTACACAATCTTGGCGGCTGCAAGTAAACCGCGTGCTTCCCCAATATTATGAAGGTTTCGCTTTTGTTGTCATTTTTAGTAAAAGATGGTGGCTGTGGGATTGTGAACAGACTGTTTTTTTGCGTGATTTTTTCATCAGCGGTCACGATGTTTTGAGTTTTTTTTTAGTAGTTCTGTAGCCTTTTTATTATAGCGTTGATATATTGCGCCTTTTCGCCAACTTAAGTAGTTTGGTTTACTTTTTGCTGTCAGAGAGCGTCTGACAAATTGTTTTGTTTTTTTTTATCCACATACCTTGTCTAAACTGTTTTTGTTTTTTGAGACACTTGATTTGGCTTTAATTCTTGGGTTTGTTGTCCTATTAATTTCATTTAAATTAACTTTATTTTTTCTCATGGTTCCTTTCACAGATGAACTTTTTTATCAGTGCAAAGGTTAACATCTCTTCAGAGCCCCAAATGAGGAGAAAGGAAGGAGAGGTGTAATATTACCTGACTTTATTTTCAGTGTTTGTAAATGTTTCTATACCGTGATCAATGCTGAAAAAAAAGCTTTGAATGGAAGTATATAAACTGGTGTTTTTAGGCACTTTACTTTTTTTATTGTCTGCTTCCAAAACCATAGCTATTTTGACGATGTGTGTTATTTCATCATGGATATGATCAACTTAAAGTCATTTAATCACGGGCTAATTGTGGCAAAATGTCTTTGTATTGATGCTTGTAGTTAACTCTCGCTTTATTATTTAAGTTATTTAAATACAACGTCTTTGCCAAATGCTGCTCAAAGTTTTCTATTTATTGCGTTCGACGGAGGAAAACGCATACAAATCGCTTAATCCACAAGTAATTTGAAAGTTTTCCCCTGAACGCTACATACAGTAAAGGACTCAAATTTAGCACCACAGAGGGTATAACGTCATTGCCACGTCCATGCAGTTCATGATCCTGACGTACTTCCTTGTCCTTATCTGCTACTCTTGTATTTGTTTTAATTATTTTTGTTTATTTAAAACAGGACGAAGACGTTTTTAACGAGCGTGTTCGCATATTGTCTGACCAAGAAGGTAATGCGGTTGAAGCTGAGGCTGTCGTACTCAAAGATTTAACAAAGGTTTGTCATACAATCAATTCAATGTATGGTAAAAATAGCCCACGGGTACTTCTCTACGCATTAATTTGTATCGAGCGTTTCGATGCATATGCCTGTTACTGACAACCCAAATCCTGGTCGGTAGAACACCCTATAAGCCTCCATTACCCGCAACCCGGCCACACAGCCCGCCCCCCCGCCCGCCACACCCACCCCAAACCCTAGCATGTCCCACTAAGACTGCAGGCTCAGTGAATGTTTGGAGGAAAGCGACTGAGTAAACGAAACCTGAAGTTACGGGGGGTGGGGGGTGAAGGAGTAGAAAAGCATTAAAAAGTCCAATCACAGCGAATCGCCTCGAGCACCGAGGAGTCTGATCTATAAACTACCAGCCCGAGTGGAAATGTGCGCATTAACCGCGCGAGAATGCCGCTGCTCTTTCAACTGCCGAAGGCCCAGTGGCGCAACAGTGGAAAGTGCCATAATGCTAACTTAAAAGGGCAGCCAGGGTACCAAAACACACGAACACTACGCTGCGCTGCAATACCAAGCGCGTTTGCTCTAAGTAGTTAACCAAGCTTAATTACATTGAACCCTATAATTTACATTTGACTTCTTTTTGCGGCTGTTCACAGGTATATCGAGGTACACACGTAGCTGCAGTTGATCATCTTTGTCTTGGTATTCCGCGTGGAGAGTGTTTTGGTCTCCTTGGTATAAACGGTAGGTGAACCGTTGCAGAACTAGATAGTATCCCTTCCTGTCCCCTTCCTCACCCAACTAAATCCACAATTAACTTTTAATTTCGGACGTACAAGTCTGTTGATCAAATGGTTGGACGAGATGATTTATTTTAAATGCATACATTATAAGCTGTGGTTTAACGAACAAAATTTCATTATGTACCAGGAGGGTTGCTTTATCATTCTAAAGTCCATACAGATTTATCGTATTTGTGAAGTGAAGCAATCAGTCGAGATCTTCATCAAAAGTTAGTGAATACATGTACTCATATACAGAGGGTAATTTTACAATTCAGTAATTCAACCTTGTTGATTTGGAATGTTGCTTATGGAGTTATACATTAGACTGACGTGCTACCTATTGATTGGTCGATATTATATTGATCAACTATTGATTGGTCAATATTATATACTGCTCAATATTGATGGGTCGTTGATCAATGTTTTTGAAGGTGCGGGTAAGACAACGACATTTAGCATGCTGACAGGAGACCTTAGCATAACGGAAGGCACTGCTTATCTGGATGGATTCAACATCCAATCAAATTTGAAGCAGGTACTACATCATTCTATCCATTACATGTTTACCTTTCTTTTCTTGCAGACAATAGTTCACTCTCGCGTTTACCATGATCGCTGATTTTTTCTCTTTATAAGAGAGTACAAGTTTTTAATTTTGTTTGCCCTGCCACTTAAAATTTTCGTGTTCTTAACAGGTTCAACAGAGAATTGGTTACTGTCCTCAGGTATGTAATTTACTCAATTTTTTAAATTTTTCTTACGAATGTTTATGGGCGCTTCTATGGCACTAGTCTCCTTCGCGGCCGTTTGTTGTGTCGTCACGCAACGGTTCTCCGCACAGTAGTGTTGTGTGGCGACTCAAAAACGGCTGCGAGAGGACTCATATAGCACTTGCTACTGAATAAAGGGACAATTCATTGTATATTGTTACATTTTCATTTTGCTTTCTTTGCCAGGAAATAAATATAATCTTGCTGACTGCACTCTATAGCACTCTATGCACAGAAAATCTTTAAAACATTTGCAGAAACATTTCAAGCCTGAATGAAGTGAATGGAGACATTTTCAATAAAAATCGTATCCATGCATAAACTTTACGTTTCTCGTTTGTGTTTGTTTTTCAGTTCGACGCGCTAATCGAACTTCTGACTGGACGGGAGATGCTAACCATGTATGCTCGGTTGCGTGGAGTTCCAGACGAGAAGATCAAAGGCATTGTTTCAGACATTATTCACCTTCTACGTCTGGAGAAGTGGGCGGACTCTCTGTGTGGAAACTATAGGTACACCCTTGGTCTTAGTTATTGTCTTTTGCGTTAGGCCTCGATTACATGGAGAAAAGTTGTCCCGCGAAATAGCCCTCCTAGCCGAGTCAACGTAAGCTACAACCAGTTCCAAAAGTACTTGAGACTCTGTACCGTATTTTTGCATTAATGGCCTGTCCATAGTCTTGTGCTTGTGATCCCCCCTCCAACCCACATCAAAGTTGCTAGCAATACAAGACCATACTCAAAACGTGGAGGAACAACTTTGAATGGGAGGGAGGAGGGAGTTCATATCTCACCGACCTGTGACTAGCAGCGATTTAAAGCATGAAAGGTTTTTATTTCGTGGGAATGTCTCAACATTTTTGTAACTAGTTGTCGCGTTAAGGAAAAAGGTGACCTCTTTGCTCGAGCCAACAATGCTGGCGCATACTCTGATAGTCTCGCCTTGGCCGCGTTGATGCGGCTGGGCGAGAAACGTTGGCCCGGCTAGGAGGGGAACCCTACACTGTGCCATCAAAACTTATTTACCCGCCAAGCTGGCTCACTCTTCTAGCTTAGCTATCCCTTTTTTTTCTCATGTAAACTGTTCGCCAAGTTTTTTAAGGAGATGTAGGAAAAGTTGTCCGGCCCAGGGTAGCTCGCGTAGGCGAGTGACCCTTCAACCCGTGACACGCTTTTCTCCGTATAATCGAGGCTTCATTTTTTCCTTTTGTTGTTAAAGGTCTTTTTGAGTGAGGTGCACTTATCATTTGTTTTTGTCTTGTTTTTCAGCGGTGGCAACAGACGAAAGCTGAGTACAGCAATTGCTTTGGTTGGAAATCCACCAATTATATTCCTGGTAAGCACCTTAGCACGGTAAATTAAACTGTACATCGTATTGTGGTTCTTTGTTTTTTTACTGTTCTGCCTTTGGAAGGATAAAACTGCTCCCTCGAGCCGGATGAGAATCCATGAGCTGGCAGCTACGGATAGCCAAAGCTTGAGCCTTTTAGGTCAGTCTAAAGAAATGGAAAAAATAAAAAACCTCTGCCCGTTTATCTCAGTGGGATAAGCGCCGATCTACCAAGCGGGAGGTCGCAAGTTCAAACCCCAGCCGGCCTCCCAACCAGGGTCTTACAAAAAAGACTAGGGAGATCATGCTGGCCTTAATCTAAGACTTTATCCCAGGTCAGATGATCTCTTCATTGGGTGGTGACGTCAATTGCACGTTACAGAACCTACAGTGCTGTTAAAAAAAGTAGGAGACCAGAGCTAGACCCCTGTGGTGTGGTCTGTTTGTTTCGGGGGAAGGGGACTGTCACGTGCCCGCAGTAATTTGCTTCACGCTGTTGTGGTTACCCTGCCAAGAATTGGCGAATCTAGTGAAAAGAGAAAAGAATTTTGAGCACCGGTCACGGGACAGAGTTTCAAGGCTTCCTCTCTGGACTCTGCTAATGCCTGTCTGGATCTTCAAAGAAAAGGAAATTACCATTTCAAATTATGTATGCCTTTTGTTGGTCTTGCCCCAGTGCGACGTGTGCATCCCAGCATGTCGGTTTTGTACCACGTGAATGGCAAGCTACAAAGGGCCTATTTGAAACCACTAAGATGCTTCATTGTTTGTTTTGTAGGATGAACCCACCACTGGTATGGATCCAGTTGCCCGACGCTTTCTCTGGGATACATTGACAGGTGTCTTGAAAGACGGACGCTCCATCGTGCTGACGTCACACAGGTACACGCATCAGGGACTTTAAGATCCGACGACGGCGAGGGCAACGAGAACGTTAAGAGAGCAATAGGTTAAGATTAGCAAAACGACTGACATCTTTGCACGTGCAGCACACTTTTTTGTTCATTTCTTTGCCATCACCGCACGGCTACGACGTGAAAATGTCTAATTTCACGTTTTAGGGAGGACGTAAAGAAGTCACGACGAAATTGTCTTTCTCTTTCTGAACTTATGTATCATGGTTGTTCAACTCCTGGAGAGTTCGCCTGTTTTTGACAAAGTAAGTGAGTTGGAATAATCGCGATGAAGATTGAAAGAATGCGAATTAACTTTTTATGTGACTTGTTCGCTGTCGTCGCCATCCTCGGATCTTAAGGTCCCTATACGACTTGAACGTGCTACCGAAACAGATTGATACTCGTGAACAGGGAAACCAGGAACAAATATACGGCTTGAAATACCGTACAAATTCTGTTAAGCACATGTTTGGGCAGTGCATTTGGTTAAACTAGACTATTCCAGTGTCTTTTGTTCAATACCAAGTGGACGCACTATGCACCAGCATTTCACGAATTTGCTTATTTAGAATAGAACGTATTAGTGCGATCGTAATTTGTAGTGCTAAAATATAATGTACTTCGCGTATTGGTTTGTTTCAGACGCCAACCTTCAAAAAAATTAATTTCAAAACGATATACTTAAATATCCTTGCTATTTTAGCGGTTTTCGCCTGGCATGGCCAAGAGCGCTTGTTTGCAGGCTAAGAATGGAATAATTACGTACCAGTGAGGCTGAGGCTTTAAAGAATTTTTGTTTTGTTTTGTTAGTTTATTTTTGTTACGCACAGACTCAAATTTGTAGCATCTTAGCGGTTAAAATGTTGACGTGGCTTTCTCTTTCAGCATGGAAGAGTGCGAGGCTCTTTGTACAAGACTGGCGATTATGGTGAACGGACACTTCAAATGTCTTGGCTCCACTCAGCATCTTAAGAGCAGGTAAGGCAAGCTCGGGGCTTGAAAAATTCTTGAACTCCAGCACGTATTTTGGGCAAGCAGCTCTCATATTTTTTCATGCCCGGGGCAACTACGTGCTTAGAGGATAACTTTCCTGGACACTTGTGCATCGGGCAAGTGAGCTTTAAAATTTACTTGTCCAGCAAGAAAATCTACTTTTCCCAGACCACCAGACGGGACTTCTTTTTCTAGCCCTGCAAGCTCTATACTGAGCCATTCCGTTCCTGAGTACCGTTACCTCGATGCACCATGGTAGAATGTTCTTAGTACTTATCGACAGAGCAAATGAGTTTAATTCGGTATGTTGCAGTTTAAACACGTCCCAAACCCTTACGATATTTTTACGTCATGTTCAGTGAGCGTGAATAGAATGCCTCTCTTATTATACAAAGCTTTAACTACATAGTAAGGAATCTTTCGTATAAAATAAGCCTGTAGATGGGAAGCTTTTGATGTCCTAGTTTATTCTTTCTCTCGTGTTCTGAATTTCCGATCGAGTTCAAACTCAGATCGGCCGTTGCTCTTCTTGATAAAATCATTCGTTATTTTATTCACCAGATTTGGAAGAGGGTATACATTGATGGTTAAGGTCGGTAGCCAGCAACCTACGGTCTCGCTCACAGGAATAGCTGACTCTGAGGGTAAAGTAAAAACTATACTTTTCTGGGAAACTGCCCACGTACCCTCCCCTTAGCCCACATTAACACTTGCTTCTCACTTAGGGAAAAAGGTTGGCTTAGGGGAGGGGTAGGTGGGCAGTTTCCCAGAAAAGTATTATGATCCCAGTAAATGAATTGGTTGATAATGTTAACGGGTTCAACGAATTGAAAACTTCCTCAGTATGGCATCCGTCTGTAGGAACTTGTGGTCTCCCAAAGTATTTTGCCCTCACGTACGTTTCCCGTTAGGGTCGCCTTAAATCGTAGGTTAACGCATTGAACTTCAAAATTAACTGTGGAGACATGTAGTATAGGTAATTCAATGGTAACTGTCAACGGAGCCTATGAACGGAAATCATAGGCGCAGCATTGATCGTTAAGAACGTAAGAAAAAGATTTTCCTAAATAATTAGCGCTAGAATTTCTGACATAGAGTCAGTGTGTGGAATTTTGTGTTTTAAAATTTTCTAAAAAAAAATAGTGTTGTTTTCAAATCTAATTTTAGGCGCTGTTGGGAGAAGAAGAGTGAATATATCCATTACATGTCACAATATTTGAGACAAACAATTGTTATCTCCCCATTTTGTTGGGAAATTTAGTGTAGGTTTTTTTGTCCCAGAGCATGCACTCGCTCCTCTTTTCTAAGTCAGGTTGTTTTAGAAATGTCTTCGGTTTGTTACTTCTAGTAAATCGTGTTGAAGTTGTACCCGCCTTTCAAAGTCCCCATGCTGTTCCTTCAAGCCAGCCCCAGGTCTTCGCCAATCCAACGGCTCAACTGGACAACCCTGATTCCGCCGCGGCAATAGATGCTGTTAACAGAGTCATGCAGTTTGTTACCAGTGCCTTTGGCGGAGCAACTCTTATGGACAGTCACAGTGTAAGTCGCGCAAGTCCCAGTCCCCTTCGAAGCCTTCTTTGTGTCCCTGGAGAAGTGTTGCGTGACGACACGGCTGTGTTGGAGACTACTCAAGTCCTGACTGAGCTCAATTTTACTCTTAGGAAGCCAAACCAAGGCTCAAAATAACGGACAGCAGGTCGCCGGTCACGATGACCGGCCAAATATTTTTTAGCCCGGACAAACCCCGATTTTGGCCGGTCAAATAAATGAATATTATAACTTTTTTTTTTGCCTGTGGAATATCCAATGACGCTGGCAGTAGATCGTTGTACTACATTGACGTTGAGGTTTTTGGCGGCAAGTTGGTGAAAAATTCATTTACACGTTGTTGAGTTCCTTTCCGCGATTTTCGCCCGTTTTCATGTCCGTTTATATATACCTAGCGTACGGCGGTGTCTGAAGTCTCCAAGGTTCGTCCTATATCTGCATACCATCCTTTTCGTTGCCCGGCACGTAATCGAAAGTCTCCTCCACAATGAGAAGAAACGTCGCTAAATATTTCCGGCAAAGAAGTTGATTTGGAGAGAAATTTGTTCCACAAACAGCGTATTTGTCATCAGAAGTCAATAAATATACTGCAGAGCTTTCGTTTGGGCCGTCGCGCAACACTATATCTTGAAGGGCTTATTAACGTCAACAGAAATTAGGATAAAGCTGTTTACAAGAAGGAGGATTTTAAGCGCCGAGATTAACCTGAGATCAGGCCTAATTTTAGCGGTTCTTATACATTCCCTCTAACGGCTACCGCTAAAATTTGCCTCTTTTCGTTTCGCCATGCCCGCTGGAATGTAATTTTTAAAGCGAAACGAAAATAGAGCTTGATCTCAGGTTACGCCGAGATAGGCGACGTTCGTTCTCGATTAGGTTTATAGTTTTTATCAGACAATTCTGGAATCGAGTCCGCAAACGAGATTCATGTTCGACATAAAGAAATTATTATAATTAATCGATGCGCTGAAATTCATTCCCGGAGAAACAGTCCAAGACGAGCGATCGATTAGGCCGAATTCCGTCGAAGGTGATTTTCACAATCCTCTTACAAGTAGATGTTAAACGTTTAATGGACAAAAACTGTTAGCTATCCTTTAGTTTTCTAACAAATAATGGATTATCGTTAGTGTATGTTTTCCCAAAGAAGGTCACATTACTGATCACAGCAAGGCAGAACGTACAGTACGACCTGCTGCATCGTTGCGTTACTCTACAACTCAGTTTGTTGTTGTTTCGCTTTATTGCGTTTCATTACAACATGAAATTTATTGCGGCGTTCTTTTTCTTTAAAGGGTTTAGTGCAAAGCAGCAAAAAAAGCTAAAGAAAAAAGAAATCATTACAGCGTTATAGAGCAAAACGCATTAAGCGACAACTATATGGAAAATATTATAAAATGTTCGCATCCGAAAATGACCGGTCAAAATGACCGGCAAGACGAGAGTTTGACCGGTCAAGCCCTCGATCAGGCCGGACATTGTCCGTTGACCGGCCGTTATTTTGAGCCCTGCAAACCTGTATTAAGCGGACGCTCTTGGGGAATAACCAGCAGCCCGCTTAATACGGTTCTCAGTGCCGAGAAATACAGCTCTAAGTAAAATAGGCAATGGCGTCATTTCGTTGCTATATCAACTCCGATTTCATAGCAACCCTGATCATAACAAATTTTCATCTTCATCTGATACAGCCGTGGTGGTAATTTTTCAAATCTTTGTTAATGATGACGTAGTTTATGCTCAAACTTGGGAGGTATTGACTCTGAAAAACCCCATCGAGCCTCCTTAATAGAGGTGGCCGCTTAATACAGGTTTGACCGTTAAATCAATACAATACTGAACCAAGCAACTGCAAAAATCAGGAAGTTCATGTTCTTCAGTTAAATTTCCATTGCATGAAGTTCTGCTTTTTAGAATTGTAATGGTTTGCGCATTGTTTCTTTTAGGGAATCTTGCATTACCAGATAGTTAATGAAGCTCTGAGCTGGTCGTACATCTTTGGTCAGCTTGAAAGAAATAGAGGTGCGTTGAACATTGTGGATTACAGCATCAGCCAGACAACACTAGAACAGGTAAAGTTGTTAAGCTCATTTTTGAGGAGCAAGAGTGGCGCACTGGTGAGAGCACTTGCTTTCCACGTGCCTGGGGTTTCTGGTTACTCAAGTTTTTCCCTCTCCTCAAAAACCAAAATTACCAACTTCCATTTCGATCAGTTATGGTAGACGAAGAACCACTAGGTGGATGTGCTACCTTTGAATCATATATGTATCTTTTTATGTATTTGCCAGTCTTCTCAATTTTACAAAACTCAATCTTGACTTTAATGCGTGTTTATTTACTGTTTTTAACTGAGAAAACGCCTGAGTTTTTTAGCTCAGGATTGCCTGGGTAAATAACGCGCGTACAATGGCCATCTATGGCGACGCTGCGTCAATTACCTAAATAAATAAGGTAATAATTGCGGGCGACAGCATTCGTTTTATCAGGTGAAACGTTCGCAAAGCACTAGCGTTGGAGCAAGGGCGTTTTTACCTTCGATCAGAAGCCTGAAACTCGCCCGCTCTCTCTAGCCTTTGGTTATTACCAGTCATAAAGATTATAAGTACTGGGTCTGAGAGTTGGCACTGGTGAACATCGTTTTTGAGCATATTAGAGGACCGGTCAGCGTCACATTTGTGGGATGTTACCTTATTATTTCTCGGCGTTTCTTGTTAGGTTTTCATCAACTTTGCCAAAGAGCAGCACTCAGAGGACCGCACTTCAGTGAAGCGAAAGTGCATGTGTTTTCCTTGCTGTCGGTAAATGGGTAATCAATGCTTGCTTGCTGAAGTCCCTGAGTACCAAACAATAAAAGTTCAAAACTAGAAGTAATTTTAAGTAACCAAAAATAGATGATAAATAGTGTTGGTGCTTTGAAGGTAAAAAGAAAAAGTAACGCAACGAAGGAAACCAGTGGTACATATAGAATGCAGGATACTCATGTCTGGAAAGAGTCCCAACTCTTAAAATTTGTCCTGACTGCCTGCGTTACTGTGGTTTTGTCCTTTTAATGTTTTTGTGAATATACTTTAGCTTAAACCCTTTTCTCTGGGTACGTCATAAACGAGAAGTAATAGTGAAGACTATTGCCGTGGGCTCTTTTGTATAATGCTGAATATAATGATAATATTTATGATGATGGTGATGGTGATTTAAGATATACTTAAACTATATATATACTTAAAGCTCAAAAACGCTTCACAATAACTGGTTCTTGAAACTGAAAATAGATTAATGGTTTTTTATAACTTCAACTTGCAATCTCTCCCCTGAATTACACATGAAGTGATTACAGAATAAGTGTATAATAAATATATAGAATATGTAAGATCGTCAGGTCATAACGAATGTGTTGATAAAACGACTTCAACAATAGTTCTGTGAATTCCTCATGGCCGCCCTTACGCCGGTTGCGGCCTAATACATCATGAGTGAGTTCTGAAATCCTACTTTCGCCGGTGCGTTGAACATGTGCGTGGACCTTAAATTGTAGAGGCGCTTCGAAAAGTTAAAATATATTTAAGCAATAGCCCACTCTTTTTATCGGTTTACCGGCGTGATAACCCACGCGGGATGTTGGGAGTACACGAGAAAAACTTGCAAATCACTCGCCTTCGGCTCGTGATTTACACGCTTTTCGAGTGTTCTCCCAACATCCCAAGAAAGTGTGGTCTATCGCTTTTATAAAATAACTTTAAGTTTTCTATGAGGCATAGGTTTTCAAACAATCAGAACGCACGTACCAGCTTAGTTATTTTATAAATATATAAACCAAATAAACAAAGATTCATTGTTAAGAATACAATCAAATCATGTTTCTTTGGATGATGATGTATCTTCCACGTTGATCCTTAAGTCTAGAATAAGACTGGTATTGTCGTATCCTGAGGCGGGATTTTTTTTATTGATTTTGAGGTTATACAAAATTATCTTATATAAATATAAGAAAGGATATACTCAACTACAAATACTAAAGATATAAATTAAAATAAATATACATATAAAAGATAAAAGCTGAACGTAATGGAATAAAAATATATATATTCTTGTTTGTTTTTAAGTTATTATTTTGTAATTTTAAAATGTAATCTTAGTACGCATTCTAAATGAAACTTATTTACGTTTATAGAAAGTTAGGAATAAATGATTTTTTAGTTAACTTACGCGTTGTGAAGGATTTTATATTTAGATATATATATTTTGGGGGGGCGGGGAAGGGGTGTGCAAGGGGATAAAAAAAAAGAAACCCTCTCGTCACACAGTCTGTGAGAATACTCTGTGTATTTAATAACAAATAGATTTGTTATCAAAGTTGCCTCCACTCGGTAAGAACAGCCTCTTCATACGATAAGTCGTCGGTCCTTTCCGAGTAAATTAACAAAATATGTTAAAGAACAAGTAACCTTTATAACTTCACTTTTAATTGCTTAAGACGAATAGACAATAGGGCCATTTATACGAGGAAAAATAAGACGCGTCTTACATAAGACGCGAACTGTACCATTTATACGAGCATCTCTTATCTGATAAGACGCGTCTTAACTAAGCCGCGTCTTATTTTAGACGAAATGTGCCGTTTATACAGAAAGTTCGCGTCTTATTTAAGACGCGTCTTATTTTTCCTCGTATAAATGGCCCTAATATGTCTATGTCAAATATTTTGTGTTACTATAACTGTTGTTGTTGCTTCTGGCTTTTCTGACATCCTTTCACACACAGGAATTTTATGTAAATACACTTATGAGACAATGAAGACTAACATGGCTAGAATCACAATTTCCAACAAATTATAATTCTTATACACGATCATACAATGATGGCCTCCAATGTACAACTTGTTCCCTGTAAAATGGGAACGTTTCCAATTCCAAATCTCTAAGCTTTTTTTGTATCGTTCGTGTTGCTATTGCATTAACCACTGCCACCTACAGTCAACTCTCGCGATGCTGACACCTCGATAAAACGGACAGCAGCTAAATCCCCGGCAAAAACAAATTACAGACGTTTGACTGAGATAAACTCCCGCTATTACGGACTCTCGCTAGAAAGGACACTTACTCGAGGTCCCTACTGTGTCCGTAATAAAGGGAGTAGACTGTAACTGGGAATGACAGAACATTGCTTTAGCTTCTTCTCCTTATCTACTGGTGGGGAAACGAATGGAAACAATCACAGGGAGAATTAAGGACGTCTTTACTCACGTTAAGCGATTGCAATTATTAACGCCCTATTTATCGGTGGTGGCATTGTGGCCGAGCGGTTAGAGCGCTGAACTTGCAATTCGGAGGCCCTGTGTTCAAGTCTCGCCCTGACCGCTAGCTGGATTTGTTCACCGTCGGTAGTCCCGAGTTCAACTTCTCGGCCATGCTTGTAAATTAGCCTACTGGTTTGCATCCGTCCAGTTGGGATTCTTAACCATGT